TTTTAAAATTCTTGAAATTCAGTGGGGGCACATGCCCTAATACCCCCATTGTAAATCCGCCATTGACTTCCAAATATCACTGAGAGCAATCTTTTAGTGGTATCCATTACACCCATACCACTCAAACTTCAAAACAAAAAGGTAAAAATTTAATATCAATTAAAAAAAATAGAAACACTACATATTACAAGGATAAAAAAACTTACGTGGAGTCTGGATGTCCAATTGATGGGTTATCTCTGTCTTAGCAAACACACCCACACAAATCTCTACAATGAATATAAGTGTGAAGGCGGTTAGGAACGATATACAAACCCATAGGACTTTCTTTCTCTCCCTATCTCTTTCCACATCTAAATCCAAATGATGATTAACACGAAAATCTATTAAAAGGATGTGGTGAAAAATTAATAAAAAAGTTAAAGAATAGATTAATAGAGTAGCATAATATTGCTGGATAAAATTTGCCTAAAATAATTCAAAACATTATTGAATAATTAAGAAAGATGGAGAAAAAGGATGTGGAGTTTGAAATCATGACAAAGGCAAAACGGTCCAAATGGGGTGATACCTAGCATTTAGGGGAGCGATATTTAGCAGCTCCTATGAGGACACCTACAAATTAATGTCTCGTTAAGCACTGGTATTATGTTAGCAGTTAGCCAAGTATGAGTAAAATGATGTCGTATATGGAGTTGAGGACTATCAATAATTATAATCAAGGAATTATGGGAATCATGCGGTTAATGAAGAATTTTTATGCTTCTTTCCCATTTCTTTGATTCTCGCTAATCTCTCTTATCTCTCTTCCTCAATCTCTGAATCTATCATCTTCTTTAATCCGGATCTGATCTGGATCCTTTTAATCATGCGCCATTCATAACAATTGGTATCCAGAGCTTCGATCCTCGGCAACAGAGATACGATGGTTGCTGCAATGCAATCAAGAACGATGGAGAACTCCATGGAAGAATAGTTAAAGAAACTTCTAGAAACTGTCGGTGGCTTGGTTAACCGTCAACAAGGTTTCAAAGGCAGAATCAAGGATCATCAACAGAGCTTCGAAGATGAAATGGCGGAGAGAGATCAAAAATTTGATCAAAGATTTGAAGCTTTTGAAGCATAGTTTCAAGCTTGTATGAAATTTTTAGGTGCGGATGAAGAATTCGGTATCGAAGAAGTGAGGCCAGTAACACGAGCATTTCATAATCAAGAATCGACACCTTTCAATAAGGATGAATCTTTGGCAATTTATTGGAATGCCAAATAGCCGGCTGAATACTGCAGTCAAGAAATTAAAGGAAGTCAGGACCAAATGGGTGTTCTTAAAGACAAAGATGAGCCCAAAAATAATTCTGAAGTTGTAGAAAAGAGTAATGGTGTTCAAGAAATTGATTCGTACCACTTTCCTATTCACTCGAAGGAATTCGAATAAGAAGGTACATCTCTGGAAGCCTTAGATAAGTCGGTTTTGTTGATAAAGTTGGTTTGTATTAGTTATGATGTTACTACCTTGGATACATTGAATGGTAGTTTTGAGATTTCAAATGATGGAAGTAGCTCTACTTTAAATTTCTGTTGTGATAATATGATAATTAAACCTGATTTGAGACGAAGTGATAATATGTATTTGGAATCGGTTGATCCTGATGTTGACATAGATGAACAGATTGGTGGAAATTCTTTGAGTGTCAAAGGTTTATAAGAACCAAGGGGTTTGTTGACCTAGATCTTGTTGCTTTTGAGGTGAATAGTTTTGATAAATGTTTGTTATGTTGAGATTTGAAGACTGATCATGTTAAAGATGTTACCAATGAATGAAAATGTTTGAATGTCACAAGGTCTAATAAAACTTTGTGGTATGAGAGTAAGCTCGATTTAGAAACAAAGGATATTGTGTTTTTGCTTTCAAATGATGAAGCTGTTGAGAGTAAGCTTTGAAATTTTTGAGACAGATGGGGTGCTTGAGCAGAGTTTTGATGTTCTGATTTTTGAAAGCAATGAGTTGTGTTACAATTACGCTTCAAAGGAATTTTGCATGGATGTTAGCCTCAATCAAGGAAGTAAGGTTTTTAAAACTTGGGTTGATTGGGTTACATGTTTTAGAGGAGGAACCACCTCTAGGAAAATATTGAAATCTCAATTGCAAGTTAAGGTTTTTTACATGAAGTTAGTGGAATATTGTGCTTTGTGGAAAAAAGGTAGTAACATGTTTCAAGGGTGGCACTTACCTTGTTGTTAGTGGTGACCAATATGACGCAATTCAACATGAATGCAAGAATTTTTGTGAACAACAATATGCTGTGATACTTGTCACTGCTGATTGCAAGCAAAATAGAGTTGAGATGAGCCAAAGATCAAGTTTTTTTGTCAAGCTCTGTAAAGGGGAAGTGAGGAGAAGAACATTCTCAAATGGCCAGCAAAAGTCTCATAATGCTTTGATGGATCATTTTGGTTTTTTTGATGACAACCTTAAAAAGATTTTAAAGGATTAGGTTTAATCAATCTTTGAGTAAATTTCAGCCTGTTACTAATTTCCTCGAATTATTGTTGTTAGAATTCTTGTGTGAGGAAGCATATTCATGCATTTATACTCCTTTGTGCTACTTGAATTTAAAGATGGCTATGCAATCTTAATATTATTAGGAGCAGCTGATTGTTAATTGAGAAGCATTAGTAAACAATAACATCCATGGCCTCTTAAAAATTTGGGTTGCTATTGTTATTGTTTTTAGGGGAGGACTAAGGCTCGAAGGGTATGTGCTGGGTGCCAAGAATTTTTTAGTATGTTGAAAGAAAAATACAATGCAGTGATGGTTTATTGTACTTGAGTATTCCAAATTATTTCTTGGGCAGTAAAGTGAAAATGAATAGGTCAATGGTGGTAATGGAAGTAATTGGTGGAAATGAGATTGTTGATAGTTTTTATAGAAGAAAAGAGTACTCTGCACCTCCAGTGAACTGTGTCTGGAAAAGTGCACGTCATCTTTGGAAGTTGTATCAATGTTGCAAGATATTGTTGAATTGGTTGCAGGTTCTGGAAATTTGTTGTCGTATATTGGTTGAGGATACAGCTGCACATCAATTGATATCCAATGTGAAGATTTTCTTCTGCTAAAAGCTTGTTTCCGATTTAAGAATCAGAAGCATCGATTGTTTGCTAGTTATTGCTCCTTAAGCAATGTTGCATTCTGATTTTTTTCTTTGTATTCTCTAAAATTGTTAACCTCTTTTTTTTCTTTTTTTTTTTAGAACCTTGAGGGCAAGGTTCCTTTATAGGGGAAATGATTTGTTAGTAGTTAGCCCAGTATGAGTAAAATGATATCGTATATAAAGTTGAGGGCTATTAATAATTGTAATCAAAAAATTACGGGATTAATGAAGAATTTCTTATGCTTCTTTCTCATTACTCTGATTCTCGCTAATCTCTCCTATCTCTCTTCCTCAATCTCTAAACCTATCCTCTTTTTTAACTCAGATTTGACCCGGATCCTTCTAATTCTAGGCTATTCATAACATATTATTATTAGTAATTTTTTATTAGTTTACGACTGCTTTTTAGATCCCTAATCTGTACATAAGTAAATGTCTCTTGATGAGTTTTGAATCTTGAATGTAATTGATCAATATTTAAATTGAGTAATTTGATTGGCCAATCAGTGCATGTGACATCTTCAATTTACAATTGAACATCATGATTGGTCAATATATTGATATGACATCAGCAATTTAAAGAGGGTTAAAATTGACAATTTAAAAATAAATGTATTATCAATTTTAAATTAAACTCTTTGATTGGTTCATATGTTAACATGATATCAACAATTTAAAGCGGGGTTATAATTGTCAATTATTAATTAGACTGATTTTCAAATTTTGCTAACCAGTCGTCCAAAACGACGTGGTTTGACACATAATTATTGAAATATTTTTGCTTTTAGGACCGGATTTACACGATGGAGGGAAGAAGCAGTTCTTCACCTAAAGCCTTTGCCGCCAACCTAGTTCTCGTCTAGCCAAAACATTCAGGTGTGATCCGGTCTATTGAATGGAAGTAGTTTTCCGAATCTTAGAAGCACCTCATAACTGATAAAAATTACCACTAGAGCAAGTAGTTTTAACGTTATTCCTCAATCATTTATCTTTGCAAGTCAACTGTACTTTTGGCTGGGGATTGACGTCGTTGCCACTGTTTCTGTCTAAGAAATGTAGGCCTTGGGGGGCTAATACACTTTGTTTGAAAAAAAAAAAAAAACTTTTATGCATTATACTAAATGTTTTTTCCTAACTCTAACTAGAATAACTGTTTTAAACAAAAGAATTTAAGCTTAGGCGAGTCCTGTTTCAAGTGGAAATGCATTTGATTAATGAGATCTTTAAAATTGTTGTCTTATTGGTGACTAGGAATGAAACTTCTGCTTCTTATTAACACGACAGTAAGTATATTTTTGGTGGATGGAGGAAAGCTTGAAGGAGTTGTGACGCTTTTGGCTTATTAGTCTTCTGATTTAGTGGATACTGTTATGTTTTTTTGTTTTAATTTGTTTTTAGTCAGTAAGATTATTTCCTTTGTAGTTAATTAGATTTTTTTATATAAAAAAATTGGAATACTATCATATTTTTTGTTTTTTTTCTTCCTTTTCTATTAAATTTCTATGTTCTATCTTGGTAACAGTTATTTAGTTAGAAATAGTTACAGTTAATAAACAATCATTATTCCTTCTCGCATACAAATAAGAACTGGTCGCGACAAAAACAGAACCAGTACTAAAATATAAAAGCCTAACTGATCGAATTAAGTTGGAAAAAAAATTAATAAGGTAATTAATTAGAATCAGAATTTGATCAAGATTGATTCCCCTGTTGTAATAGTATGCACAAGTCATCCCTTAACCTATTTGTGTAAGAAAAAAGATCTTAAAGCATTAGGCAAAGCAGTGGCCTTCCGTACTTTCATCAAAAATTCCTGCGAGGGTTCAGGTTAATCAGCCGCCGCCGTAATGGCGAATTTTGTCAAAGCTGAAACTGCATTGAATCGTGCAGAAGGGTCGATAAACGTTGGTCAAAAGGAAGAAGCCTTTAAAGGACTTCACGATTTAATCGCCAGCAGGAAGTTTAAATCATGGCAGAACTCACTGGAAAAACTCATGTTCTTGTATGTAGAGCTCTGTGTTGATTTGGGCAGAGGATGGTGCGCGAAGGATGGTTTGATTCAGCACCGTCATGTTTGTCAATCAGTCAACATAAATTCACTGGAATCTGTGATTCAGAAATTCATGGATTTGGCTACCCAAAAAGCTGAAATTGCCCTGTAACAAGAATTAGGCCTGGAAATTCAGGGTTGAAGTTTTTGTTTGAGGCTTACGAAACAGTGTTGGAGATTCTGAAGAACAACTCTAGGTTAGAGGGGATTTACGCAGCGACAGCTCGCAGCGCCTTTCAGTTCTGTAGACAGCACAATCAGGCTACAGAGTTTAGAAGGTTGTGTGAAACTATTCGGAGTCATCTTGCGATTTTTGTCAAGTACAGTGAGGAACAGAAGGATAACCGTCATTGGCCTGATTTATCTGTTCCTGAAACCTTGCAATTTTATCTTGATACCCGATTCGAGCAGTTGAATGTTGCAACAGAGTTGCACCTATGGGAGGAAGCTTTTCGCTCTGTTGAAGATATTCATGGATTAATGTCCATGGTGGGAAAAACTCCGAAAGCTTCATTGATGGTGGTTTATTATGCTAAGATGGCTGAAATTTTTTTGGAGATCTTCTTCCAGTCAGCTTTATCATGCTTATGCTTGGCTCGAGCTTTTTACCATCCAAAAGAGTTTTGAAAAGAACTTGAGCCAGAGGGATTTACAGTTGATGGCATCTTCTGTTGTATTAGCTTGCACTATCAGTTCCTCCTTATGGTCATCATTCACATTGTGAGAAAGAGAAGAATCTAAAGATGGCCAGTATTATTAGATTTGATGTGGAACAAAAATCTGACAGCCAGGAATTGCTTTCTCGCGGGGGACTTTTCGCAGAACTGGAATCGAAGGGGGTCATATCATGTGTCACTCATGAAGTAAAGGATCTATACCATCTGCTGGAAGATGATGAGTTTGTTCCTTTGGATTTGGCAGCAAAAGTGAAGCCACTCATGTGGAAGAAGAACACAAAAGACTTCTAGGACGTAAGTTCATAATTGAGCAACACAAAGAGGACCAAGAACGCCAACGAGATGGAAAAAGAGGAAGAATCAAAGAAGTTGAGAGAGCAAAAGATTATTGAAGAGGAAGAAGAGCAAAAGAAGCTTTGCTATTGAGTGTGAGCAGAGGAAGCATCAAAATTTCCTCGAGGAAAAAGAAGATAGGAAGAAAGAAGAGACTCAACTTTTGCAGAAGAAACTCGAGGAGAGACAAGAAGAGGAGAAAAATTTACAGAAACTCTTTAAAACAGAAGATCATTTGGAGAGAGCCAAAAGGGAAGAGTTTCGAGCTGCCTTTGAACAGCGAATACTGGTCGAGGCTACTAGTCATGAACGCGAGCAACAGCAAGAGATTGAGCTGAGCAGACAACGCCACGCCGGTGATCTTGAGGAGAAGAGCAGGCTTGTGCGCATGTTAGAGAACAGGAACAGATACCAGGAAAGAGTCGTTGGACACAGAGAAGCCGAATTCAACCGGATGAGAAATGAGAGGCAAGATGAATTGAACCGACTCATTCAAGCACCGAAAAAGTTTTTGAGTTATATATAGTTTGAGTTAAATTGTTGCAATACTTTTTAGATAGCGTTCTATGAAAAAACAAATAAACCATGCTCTCTACTCTCGACATAAGTTGGAATAGAGAATATCTCCAAAATTATATTCACCAAAATTTCTTGAAAGAACGTTCCCTCATTTTTTCCAGGGGAAGAAAAACATACATACAAACTAACGTAGAAAATGCACACTAGTGTAAATATTTCCCAGTTAATCTGACCTCAACTTGAACTCCTAAGAAATGCTACTTACATCATTCTACTAATTCTCCTTCCTCCAGTTCTTCCTCCTGGTTAAGTATAAGAGTACACTTCTCGGCGTACTTGATGTCTTCAGCAATGGGAGCACAGGTATTATTCACTCTCAAGCCTGATACCGAACCTTCAAACACTCTTTCTGAATCTGAACTGTAATTAGATTTTGCACGTATCTCAGCATTATTCATGAGATCGGAAACCTGAGTATACAAGGACATATCTTCTTCTATTTCTTCCTCCCTAAAGGTAACTCCAATTTGATTAAGGTCGTCGGTTTCAGGAGATTCCTTAACGCTCACTTTTGATCTCTGAGGAATGGCATCCTTTACAACTTCAAAATCATAGCTGTGCGATGGAAGAAAAACATGGATAACAGGATACTCAAGAACAACTAGGTTAGCTAGTTGGCTCCGTATGGGTTCCTTAATATTTAGCTCACGATATGGTGACTTGCAGCCCTGCAGAACAAAATGCTAATTAAACTCAAAACAGTCGAAGGAAACAAAGTAATGGCGGCAGGCGAAAAGATCATTCCAGACTGCTTTCTAGGTTCTAGCATAACAGGCAAATCAGTTGGCACATCTAATGCGTCTCTCGTCTATACTTTAAATGCTACGGATCTGTATGCCTTTACTCTGTTGTTCGGATGATTCCTCACTGATAAGTTATCAAGTTGGATATTTCACATTCCACGGGTTACGAGACTCCTTTATGAATCTACAATGATTAAAGCCTTAGCCATGAAAATAAGAGACACCATGAAAACACAGTACACATCAAACCTCCAAATACAAAAGAACAAGAAAACTTTGGCTCTTTTTGTCATATAAAGATGGGGGGACTTGGTCACATCATTGACTACAAGTTGAAAAAGAAAGAAAGTCTAACATGAAGAACTACTGACCACCTATCAGTTATTTCAAAATTTATGCCAAGAACTTAATTCAATCACTTGTCAAATATTTAATAAACCAGAACTCTAACTCAAATGACTAAAATCTTTCTAAGGCAGGGCATATGCCAAAAGCTTAAATAGCTTTCTATGTTTTTCTTTTAGTATCCTTAAAAACACAAAACAAGCACCGATTAACTGATATTTGAAAATAATTCCACAGGAACTAAACAAAAAATAATGAGGACTTGAAAATGATTCTAGAGGGATGTGTCAGCACTTTCAACTGTGCATAATGCTGAGCAGGGCTCTATCAATGATTGTACTATTATATAAACAGGCATGGACAAATGAATGTATTTCGAATTTAGCTGCACATAAATTGTTGAATTTCCGGATTAATTATTGAGAATTTAGCTAAATAACGTTTCATACCTTGTCGGTGACTTAAAGAGATAGGATTGAAACACTTAAAGGTCCAGTCTTACATATAAATGCAACAAATAGAACATCAGACAGGATGACAACAAAAATACCCTACAGAACAAGGGAAGTGGAGTACCTTTGGGTACTTACGAATGAAAAATTTAAGTGAGTCCAGCGACTCCTCACAAAATGGCTTCAATTGATGATTCAATGGACCGAGTTTAAGATGATTCTCAACAACAGAGGAGAGGCTTCTATTTTCATGGATGCTAAAACAAGAGAAAGTGCAAAGTCACGTGGAAGTATATGTCAATACATGGAATTGCAATACTACAATCAAATTGCAAACTGAAAGGGCTCATTTAAAATTTAGTTAATCTGGTCAATTACCCATGGTCCAGTATTACGACGTTGGTTGAATGAAATCTCCACTCAATGGTCCAAGATATATACTTCTTCCTGGAAATAAAACAACAATAGTCAAGGTTGATCAAAACATAACTTCAGCAGAGAGCATGTTAATTGGAGCAGAAAATGGAATGCACTATTAGAATTAGTGAAGACAATGACAGGTATAAAAGTTTTCCCAAGCAACATTCATAAGTTTCCCCATGGTTTACCATCATTTTAGGAATGTTCAACACTAACAGAAATTTTAGCATGCAAACACTTAGAATCTTATTCCTCCACAAGATACACCAAACGGATGGGTAAAGTGAAACAAATCTTATCCAGAGACAGGGAATGAGGGATGAAACAGACAAGAACAAGCTATCTGGAAATTTAAAAAGCAAACAAAATGTATTAGAACATTTCCTCCAAGCTACCTCTATCTGGTATATTTTCAGCCAGAGCAAATTCAAGGACCAAAAAAAACCAAATAAACTACGGGTAGCAATGACCCTGCTGAGATGGCAACCCTATGCTCATGCCAGCAAGGCACAAACAACAGTTCCAAATTTCTTTCATTTAAGAGTCCTTAGTCAAGCTTCGTGAAAGTGAACCTAGTATTAATCAACAACTAAGGACTTAGTTTGGCGAAAAGGCAAACATCATAGATTCATCAAATAACTTCAAACCGAAATCAAATGTAAGCCACTAACATAACATGCTAGTGATTCGCCAGGAGGGGAATAAGTATAATTACAGTAGAATCAACGCCCTAAAACCGACACCCCACCATAATCCTAATTCCACTTTCTTTTCTAAATAACTCTTCATTCCCAAATTTGATAAGAGGAAACAGCAATGTAGCCAGTGCCACATTTCCAAAACTCATTATTTTCTGCATAACTGTCATTTTCAAACAAAAAGGTTCCACTTATGTTAACTAAGGATAAAAAAAAAATTAAAAGGAGAGAGAGAGAGAGAGAGAGAGAGAGAGAGAGAGAGAGAGATAACCAGATAAGAAATCAGAAATTATTCATAATGCATGCAAAAATTCATTAGTTTATTTTATCTTCAAAGCTCTCTAGATTAGAAACCATCCACTGTGAGCAGGCGATGCATGTCTCACAGCTTCAAAGATGGTCTTTTTTTTCCAAAATAAAAGCATCAATAACATCACACGGCATAGAAGATAGAAAAGCAGCGCTAACAAGTATACAATGAAGGTGTTGGGATGGTAAAACTACCTATAGTTATAATGAGTTTGATTTTTTTGTCTCTTTGACATTCCTGTTGAAAAGAAGAGTAGTTTTGTCTTTCGGTTTGCAGCAGCACTCCGAAGACTTTTAAGAGGGAGAGGAAGCCGAAAGTGAGAATTGCCACACATCTTCTCTCTCATCCTACGTGCAGAGTCAGCAACTCTCTTCACATCTTCAAGCATATTATAATCTGATCACAAAAGATATTTCAGCTATCGAGACACATAAATGAATAAACACAACTCTAGTTCACAAAATTTTTGACTTTATAAGCATCTGATGCAAAATTCTGTACTATAAGAAGCCCATTTCAAAGGTGCAAACAAACTCCAAGTAATTCCTTCTTCCTTCAACGAATGTCTAACATAAGAGACACTTTGAATACATGAGAACACACCAAGCACCCCAAAATGATAGTCAGTAAACACCAAGCTTCGAACAAATAAACTTTTTTAATAGAGTTGCAAATCAGTGATGCAGATGACAGGCACAGATAGCCCTGGACGCCAAAGGTATGGAATTAAGAACAACGAACAAAAGAAGCATGAAGAGTATCACACAGTCCCCAGCCACATTTTGTACTATAAAATGTATCACACAGATACATTTGCTTAAAAAGAACTAGCCAGGATCAGGAGACAGGATCTTCAGAAACAGCTAACTAATTCAGAATAACAATGCCAGAAGAACTTGCAAGCCCTTGGAATAATTAAATTAACACTCAAAAGTCAAAACATTCACTCCACAAACTCATGCATTCATAGGTAACAAAAGTTGTAAATTTAATTAGATTTCATCATCACCGAATAAGAACTTTTTACAATTGAAGCTGATGAATTAAAGAATTATCACAGCTTAAAATTAGAATTTGCTCAGCAGCCCAAGTAAAAATTCCATATCCTCAAACCATACCCTCAAGTAGCTCAATTTATATTTTGGTGGTTGTTAGTTGTTACAACAAAAAATCACGGAACTAATCAAAATCTCCAATGAACTCTAAAAATCACAAATTAAACAACCCAAGAACACATGTTTCTACAAATGAAGGAAAACCCATTACGACGAAATGCAACCGACATCCAATAGAAAGCTGAAATAAGGATTAAAAAAGACAGCATAAACAATCGAAATGGATACTTGGAAAAAAGAAGCTAACTTTACTAAATATAAATATCCGTATACCTGATAATAAGAGATTATCATCAAACTGAGAGATGGGAACAACTTCCTTGTACTGCTTTTTCCCGGTGCAGGAAGTCCGTTCCTTGTGAGCCTTGACGCAAGGGAGGCTACAAGAACGGATTAAGCAACCTGGGCACTTGTATTTTGATGGGTTTATTTTGCACTCTTCGCATAAAGCTGGGGTTTGGGTGGTGGGTTTTTCCTGCTCCTCCATTGTTTTGACACTGAATACAGAAAAAAGGTTCGAACTTGAAAAATCCAATGGCTGATTGATTAGGGGTTTATCAGGGGTTTCCGGCCACTTTGAACACATTTACAAATTATAATCTCAAAATCCCCCCTAAGGTTTACTGAAATACCAAATACCCCTCGTCTTTTTTTAAGATAAATTCACCCTTTGGTAAGCTGACGTGATATCAGATAAAAGAAAAAGGACCGTGAAGAAGACATTTTACCCTTTGATTATAGAGCTTCTTCTGATTTTAGCCTTCGAGTGGAGGAGACAAAGGAAAGAAGCTACCTTTGGACGTCCCACAAAAGTCACAAACACAAACAAAAAGCATTTCATCAATGGCCTCTCTATTCGATTAAAAAATTTTACTATTAACACACGCAATCGCCGTTCTTGGTGTGTTTTTTTTTTCGGTTTTTTTTTTTTTGGTTGCCGCACCTTTAATCCAACCTCAACTTTCCAATCTTTCCTCCTCTCCAATCCATCCCTCCGCTCACAAGTCACGACGCTTTGAAATCAAACTGGTTTTAATCGAGCATTTCACCTCTGATGCTTTTGTTGCAGATCTATCATCTGAAACAGAGCAAGAGGTCCGGTTAGGATCCAGTGTTTTCCTTTGTAGTAAAATCTGATCCAATCGGACGCATCCCTTTTGAGTTTTCAGTGATTCGATTGATACAGGTACTCTTCGTTTAATCTCTTCTTTTTTCTCTCCCAAGATTGTTAATGGGTTTGGTGTGAATGGATTGGAGTGATTGGAATTGCACTAAGTTGTCTCCATTAAAGAATCAAAATGAATAGATTAACTTAACTTGAATGGCTTCTTGCTTGGATTTTTACTCTTCGTTTTTTTTTTTTCCCCATCAAGAAATTTGTTGTGCGCGTTTGTTTACGTTATTGGTTGGTGGGCTCTATTGGCTGCGATCACTCTACTGCCTCTGTTTTCTTTCAACTTAATCATTTTTATTTTATTTTCTAGTTTATCCGATCACATTCTGTTCGAATTTGATGCAGCGCTGATGGCTTATTGTCATTGTGCTTTTCTAGTATGGTTGTCTTTGGCTTTGAGGTTTATGTGAAAATTGTCTAGTTCTCTTCAATAGATGATCGATAGAAACTCTGAATCAGAGTGCATTGACCATACAAATGGAAATTCTATCATAAGGATTTCAATGCTCGTGTCTCTAATTTGGAAAATCCATTTGAAATGCATAATCATATCTCAGATTATGCCACATTAGTCTACACTAGTCTTTGCAGTAAATATACTTCTTTATATAGTGGAGAGTTCTGATGAAAGTAGCTTTCCATGTGATTGCATATAAAGTATCATCTGATTTAGAATGTTTGGAAATGGTTTGGGGTTTACTCTTGATTGGAAGTACTGGATAATTGATATGTAAAAATCTTGTATTTTAAACATTAAAAGTAAACATTAAAAGTAACATATACTGGGATTAAATTTCTTTAATTTTGTTGATGTGAAGATCACGCGTGCTATAATGATTCATGATATATATAAGTTCTCATATGTTGGATCAACATATAGCCAATTGCACATGGTCGGTTAGAGAATATTGTTGTTGTTGAAATTGCTGACACTGTTGTCTTTTTTTTTTGAATTGGTTCTGACACTGTTGTCTTAAGTTTATCTTTCTACGATTCGTCGGGTTATCCTGGGATACCACGAATTAAAGCTTAGCTTTTTTTCTGTTTCTAAAAGTCTCTTTCTTGATCTCTTTCCTTTTCCTGAGAAGGGCATAATTTGAGAAAGTAACTTTTCTTCTGCATCTATTAGCCGTTTGGCCATTTTTTACTTGATCAATCTGAGAACCCCTTTTGTAATTCAGCCAATGAATGCCATTTGGTCATTTTTACTTGATCAATCTGAGAAACACTTTTGTAATTCGGCCAACGAATTGGATGGCCAAAAAAATTCTAATATAAATAATGTGAATAGAGGGTGCTAAATGAACTATGCAACCGGTGTAAAGCCTCACGATTGTAGGAACAGTTTTCTCCAGGTGTAATAAGTAGTCCTCACATTCTACAAATCTTTAATAATCACATCAATCAATTGGCGCTAATGATTTTCTCAGTTCAACCATGCTTTTGCCGCAATATGTAGCAGCTGCACTGATTTCTTCCATTCAGGACACATTGGGGATGTCTGTTTTTTCCTTGTTAGCATTAAGTGTTTGTAATTTCAGCAAGATAATTATTATGTTGGCGATGACTTCGTTTTTCCTATTCCCAGAAGTTCAAATAAAAAATGTGGAGATTCAAGCCCTTCATGCCTAAGGAACAGGCCGGGCTTGAAGGACGCACCATTGACATTGGCAACCTCAAAGTTCAGGTCCGCAATGTTATTGCAGAGGGTGGATTTTCTTGTGTTTACTTGGCGCGAGATGCCATACATGGTTCAAAGCAATATGCGCTAAAGCACATAATGTGTAATGATGAAGAATCTCTGGAGCTAGTGATGAAAGAGATTAATGTGATGAAATTACTTAAAGGACATCCAAATGTTGTTACACTTTTTGCCCATAGCATCTTTGATATGGGCCGCACGAAGGAGGCTATCCTTGTCATGGAATACTGTGAGAAAATGCTGGTGACTATGCTGGAGAATAGGGGAGGTGGTTTCTTGGAGGAGAAACAGATTTTAACAATCTTTAGGGATGTCTGCAATGCTGTGTTTGCAATGCACTGTCTATCTCCTCCAATTGCGCACCGGTAAGGACAAACATTCAGGATTTTAAACTGGAAATGCAATATCAAGCTATGGAGACTTTGTTGGCATTTTTATTTTTTATTTTCTTCGGTCAAACTTAGATAATTGTTGCCCAACCAAGTCAGAGATGGCAAATCCCCTACATCACAATACCTTCCCTCGTCCCTTCTAGTTTCTTAGTGTAATTTGGATGTCATGGGATGGGAATACCTCATAATCTTGTTTGGTTCACTATATTTGGTTGCATATTTAATCAATTATGCTCTCTGGTTTAATCATTGTGCTTTGCATTTTTCTGTAGAGACTTGAAAGCTGAGAATCTTTTGCTGGGACCTGATGGATTATGGAAACTATGCGATTTTGGTAGTACAACGACCAATCACAAGCGCTTTGAAAAGCCTGAGGAAATGGGGATTGAGGAGGATAACATTCGAAAACATACGACACCTGCCTACAGAGCCCCTGAGGTTGAATGAAGGACTTATTCTTCATAAGTTACTATTATCATTGGTGGTATAATGGTTGACTCCTGTCCCTTCTTTTCTTGGCTTAGATGTGGGATTTGTTTCGAAGAGACATTATTAGTGAGAAGGTTGACATATGGGTAAGTACGACAATTCACTACTGTGTCGGTATCTCCCAGGATATTATCTATTTCTTAAATCGAGCTTGATTCCGTGATATGCAGGCACTTGGGTGTCTACTCTACCGTATATGCTATTTGAAATCTGCATTTGACGGTGAATCAAAGCTACAAGTTTTAAATGGTAATTATCGCATACCAGAGCAACCCAAATACAGCAGCTCTTTGACAGACCTTATAAAGGATATGCTCCAGTCATCACCAGATTCCAGACCAGATATCACGCAGGCAAGTGCTCTGCCTGATTGGTCATTCTTCATAATTAATATGAAGTTGTAGGATTTTTGCTACCAAGCTCATAGTAAGGGTCAGTATTTTATCTATCCTTACATCTATACTTTGTTGCTTTCAGGTTTGGTTTCGTGTAAATAACTTGCTGCCGGAGAGTATGCAAAAACCGCTCCCAGACAGACCCCCAGAAATGAATCAGAAAGTCACTGATAGTCATGAAGGTTTGATATTTGGCTAGTTTGCATAATGTTGATTCATTTAGTACTGAAAATGGGATTATGAACTGATTCAATCTTTATTTCCAAATTTCGGATTTCTTACTTTTGAGGTTGAAGAGCTTCCTTTCCTCTTGACATTTAAAAGTTGGATTCACTGCTGGTTGCAGGAACTCCAAAGCCTGCCGTTAAATCTGGCCCTGCTCCTCGTAGAAGTCCACCACCTCCTCCATCAGCTGCCGAATCAGCTCGAAATTCACCACAAACCATGCATAACAATAGGCAAAGTGGAGGTGGGGGTCCTTTAGGAGCCTTCTGGACCTCTCAACATGCAAAAGATTCGTATGTTTCCGAGGAAAATAATAGGCCCAAATTTGATGAAGAATCGACTAACCACGGCCAACCAAAGCATGAGAACAATCTGTTTGAAAAGTCAGCTTCTCGAAGATCTCCAGGAGAAGTTAGTATCCCATCACTCCTCAAATATATGTGCTTCTTATGGTAGTTTTGGTAGTTCAGGGAAAAGATATTCAGAACTTCAATATAATTTTCAGGTTGATGTTGAACGTATCAGAGAAGGTGCTAATGCATCTAAGACAGAAAGTACAGCCTCTGCTCAAGCATTCAATGCTTTTGTTGCTGAATTTGGTGACAAACTAAGCCCTCAAAGTAACAGTAGGAAATCAGGAAAGGAAGAGTATTTAGAAGCTGAAATAGAAAAGCTAAAGGAGCAAGTGACACAGATCAAGCAGGAAAAGTCTGAAATAATTTCCAAAAACGAAAAGCTATCAGCAATATGCCGGTCACAGCGGCAGGAGATACAAGAACTTAAACAGGCTCTTGCGGCAAGAACTCCATCACCAAGTAGAGAATCCACCAAAACTCATCCATCTTTTGCAAATGTTCCATCTACTGCTCCGGTACTGTCAGCCAAATGGACTTTTCCTTTCCTTTTTCTTCTGCTTTTTCTCTTTCTGGGTCATGGTAGTGAGCATCCTGTATTAAGTTTCTTTGTTATACTTGCAGCAGAAAGAAAAGATTGAAGGAACAGTTTGGGAACTGCAACAAGGATTATTTGAACAAAGTTCTTCAAGCGCTGATTCCAAGCCATGGCAGGCTTTTGCTGATGACCCTACACCGCAAGCCCCTGTAAATATTAATCCTAGATCTGTTAGAACACGAAATGGTCTCCAAAACAAGCAAGCTGCCGAAGTTAATTCAGGTGCTAACACATGGGGATTTGAAACCGAGAATTTTAGGGCAGTTCCTTCAACCGGACCTCCTCGTACAAATGCATCTCCAAGCGAAACAAATCATTCCCAGCGTTTTGGTGAGGTAAAGAATCTCGAAAGCAATCAAGCTTCCCAGCCTGCAGGATGGGCTGGTTTTTAGTTGCTGGTCTCTGAGATGTTAAACATTTAGCATCATTGTTGGATGTTTGGAGGTTAAAGGAACAGAGGTAAGAAAAACTGATGCTACCGGGGGTTGCTTTTTGGCATTAAACATTACTGTGTAGATTTGCTTGCGGATTCAAGCATCTCATAAGGGATGACTTTCAAAATATTTAGGAAATTGTAGAGTGTAAAACTTGACATTTTTTTTCTGCGGAAAGAAACGGCAAACAATTTTTATCTACTTTGCATGTTGAGGTCAATTTTGAGCTATCTGTAGCACAATTTCGACAAGTTCACAGACATCAGAAGACAGGTATGCGGAAATGGAAAAGGCTTTCATTCTTGTCCAAAATTCTTGCTCAAGTAGGACGTGTTTGTTTCGTTTTTTTAATGTGTGTTTTTAGGTGTTTTTTGTATTGGGAATGTAAAAAAGTGTATTGAAAATGTAAAAAAGTATGCTGGGATGGGACAGTTATTATTTTATTAATTTAAAAAAACCATAAAAAAAAATTAATCAAACAAACCCTTAGATTTGCTGTACGGTGCCCAGTGCCAACTGTGTTCCTATAACATTCTCCAAACAAAAACAATATTACTCGAGACCTAATTTTAAGACATGAATTTTTTTTTTTTAACTAAATTTAATGTTAATTTGTGGCTCATGCATGTTTACCAAACAGAGAGACTCATCCATGGTGGATTCTTGATTTGAACCGCTTCCATGATCTCTCTCTACTGAATTAGGAGCATGGCAAACTCCGGGATTTAGTCCCGAAGGAGCATTTCCTATTTCTCAATTGTTTATTTTCTTTGGGCGTCACCAAAAATATTGAAACAAAAATTTTGTTGGTATAGAATAAACCAAATTCTTTTATGAATGTTGAGATGTATTATCAAACGATTTATTCATGTCAATCTTTACTTATGATTAAATATTTTTGTCTTTCAATCAATTATTTTAGTGTGTACTAGGTGGAACAAAAATTGTAACAAGTTTGTATTTATTGTCGGTGAAAAAAAAATGTAGTATATTATTTACTTGGAGATATATATCTAAATTATTACTATCTCTTATTATTGTATATATCAAATTATGTAATTCATTTACGTCTTGTCTACTAATTCGAATCCTGCTAACTGATTTCACATGGAATTCTTGTTGACTACTTGTTCGTGTAGTGCAAACTTTCAGTTTTGATCACCTTACAATAACAATTTCGTAAAATTACGTCCCATCCCGTCCTTGATCCTGAGACTTTTTCGTCGAAATTGGGAAGGCAACAGATGCGTTGATGTAATCACCCTAATTGTGTTGCGACATTGTTATAACAAAGATGTAGTAAGAATAGACATTGTTATTGATGTAACATTGTGACCATTAAAATTGAATTGTGTGAAAACTATTTTACTTTCATCATGCCAAATCTGTCATTCAACATTGTTCTTATGTGCACTTTTTTAATCTTAACTAATGATTGTTCTAAATTTGTTTATTGTACTTTTAATATAGGCAAATAAGATAATGACTTTGAGATAGCCGGAGCATATATTATAGACAGTACTCCCTCCATTTTGAAATATATATCGCTTTAGGATTTGATGAATTTTTTTAAATATATGTCGTTTTTTGACAAATCGAGGCATATTTGACCACTCTTTACCAATATTACTCTTGCATTGGAAATGAAACAGTATTTATAATGAATTTTTATTGGTTTGTGATGAATTGTGTAGACAATAAATAAATAAATTTTTATATTTTAACTATATTAATTAATATTTTCTTAATTTTGATGATTTTTTTAAAAAGGCATATAAAAAACCAGAGGGAGTATTACTAAACTATAACATCAAACTACTGTACAAAAGATTTTCAACAAAATAACTGCGAGACCTTTTTTTTGTTATTTTTTTCCCCTACGTGGCGCTGATGCAGAAGTCCCCGAGTGAAAAGTGAAACTCCAAAAAGGAAGCATGAAAGGAAGAAAAAGAGGAGGCCAAAAAGGAGGCGGGCTTGGGCGGATTCCAAGTATTAGAGTGTTTGTGCAAAGCTAGTTATGGATTACCCACCGTACGATAGCAGTGGTGAGCTATACGTTGAACCCCGTCATTGTGTTTCTTTGTTGCGAAATTTCTACCTTTTTGCTTTAGTTTTTATTGTGAATTTTTCGTCTTACCCCCATTATATCAGTATAGAGATGCTGTTTCAGTACGACCCAACAAGATGTATTGGTGCATTTGATGTATTGAGTTCCGGAATTGAATGGGTCATTTGAGTTGTTGTTGAAATGAGCCATTTGCTGCTTCCTCTTCTTCTTCTTTTTTTTTGGTCGAATTTAGGCTTCCCTTGAGAAAATTGTGGTGTTTCATCTTGCTTTTTGGTAGGATGAATTTTTTAATTCATATGTTTGTGGATGTATTTGAGTTCTCTTGGAGCTTCCAAGTTGGTGAAAATTGTGTTCTTCAGGTAGTAATATGCCATTCCCTGTGTGTGTGTGTGTGTGTGTGTGTGTTTTTCTTTTTCTTTTTCTTTTCTTTGTCTCATTGTTGCTCTTTGTTGGATGAGAAAATAAATGCAGCAAGTTTGCATGTGCTGCTTTGGGAGGGTATAGTTCGATTACGTCGTGAAGAAGTTATGATACTCTGTTGAACATGGTTTTGGAAAATTTCTACGGAACTGAAGTTTAGAGTTGTGGGATTAGCTTGTAAAAGAGATTGAAGTTGCCTGTGAACGTCCAGTTAATGTTTTGGTTGTCTCTGAACATTTTATTTACAACAATGCGGTTAAGTTAAGAACTGAATAGTGGTATGAATTTTTAGAGGCACTGATCCATTCTTAGAAGCACACAGCAGACGTGTACTTGCATAATAATATTGATTCCCAAGTGGGAGAATTGTCCAATCTGCTAGAACTTTCTTTCCTTAGTTTCTTGAGGAAGATGGTTTAGCTTCCAAAGTTCCTATAACATTGTTGATATGATGACTGTAGCAGTGGAATTGACACGGTTGATCCTCAATTATCAAGAATTTCACTAAGATACTGACTTCAAAGAATTGGGCACCTCTTTTTCTATTACGTCTACATCAGTTAAAGAGTTAGTTATAATAAAATTGCTTACTGCATGCCAACATCTCCATTAAGTATATATGTTTAGTACTATTTGAAATGGTTTTGTAAATATTCTAGTTCACGCATATTTAAAATCTCCTTGGCAGTTTTTTTTGTTAATGATGACTATGTTGGTGCTCTCAAAATCGGATGGTAAGACTTTTTGTTGTAATGCTGTTGATGAAATTACTTTTTATGGATGCCTACTTTCATCCAGTGTATGTGACTTTCTTGGACTACTAAATAAATGCAGGAACTGATGATGATCTTCCTCCATCACATCAAAGTAGAGTGCTTCGAGGTGGTCGGGTTGCTGGTAATGGTAAACCTCTGGTTATGGGGTCTGTTCCATATCCTAGTATGTATGGTGATTCTGATATGGAGGCCCAAATTCACCAGCTCGAGCAAGAAGCATACACTTCGGTCTTAAGAGCCTTTAAAGCTCAAGCCGATGCCATTTCATGGGTACCATCTTTTGACTGTTTCTATCATCTGCATATTATGAAGTTTGAATTGTTGCTCATGGATTTTATTTACTGCAGGAGAAGGAGAGTTTGATAACCGAACTAAGAAATGAGTTAAGAGTGTCAAATAAAGAACATAGGGAGCTTCTTGGCAGAGTTAATGCAGACGATGTGATCAGAAGAATAAGGTCTGGTTACATAAAACAAGTTTCTTCTCCACGAATTTATGAAATGAAACATTGATTTGTATTCCCTGATAACTTCTACTGTAAACTTCTGGTGAATGTAATCAGGGAGTGGAGGCAGTCAGGTGGACATCAACAGCCCATGCAACCTGTCCATGATCCAGTACCCAGTCCTCCAATAGCAGCTCCTCGTAAGAAACAGAAAACAGTACCTACGATACCTCCTCAAACATTTGGAGGCCCTTCTCCTCCCTTCCATCCCCAGGCTGGACCGAATCAGCCATCTTCTTCAATAAAGCGACCTGGGACGGGGCCAAAGGGAAAGAAACCCAAACCAGTATGTCAAGTTCTTGTTCAAAGTGTCAGAAATTCTGACTGTCCCATGTTATCTTTCTCTTAGAACTTCCCTTTTTTTGTGTGTGTGTGATAGGGACAAGCTGTACCTGGAGGGCCTCCCATGAAAATGCAGTACCTTCCCCCTGGTCCAACTGGGAGAAATCAATTCGTCCATCAGCCTGCTTCTGGTGGTCATGAACCAACTGAGTCAGGGTCATTTCATCCATTGATAGGTAGGAAAGTAAGGACCAGATGGCCAGATGACAATAACTTCTATGAAGCAGTTATAACTGACTATAATGCAGTGGAGGTATTCCCTGGCCTTTATTGTTGCAATTTACTTTCCTTCTGCTCCAATGCTGATGTTATTATCACGTGGCATTTATTTATAGGGCTTACATGCTCTTGTTTATGATATGGGCACTGCAAATGAGAACTGGGAATGGGTCAATCTTTCAGAGGTATATTGTTGTTATTCATTTAAAACATTACATAATAGAAGTGACCATGTTTCTTATTTGGTCCTGAAGATATTATGTGCATGCAATTGCTTGATATAATCAAGATGTAAATGCTTCTGTTTGTAAAAACTTTGCTTTCTTCTCACGTGTTGGTTTTTACTTCTAGATGGTATCTCCTTTAGCTTGGTTGACTATTGTGCCATAGTTTATTCAAATTAGCACATGATATATCACTTGGTTATGCAAACAAAACATGATACTGCAGTGTCTTGCTTAGTCTTTTTTCTGTGGGGCAAACTTTGTAAAATCTAGAGAATGGAGGTTTGTTTCAATTGCAGTGATTCGTCGTGGAGTCCTGCCAATTTAAATGATGCTTTAATGTTTTGGATATCTGAAATTGCTCATACAGTTGAAAGTTTTTGCTGTACCTTTCTCATAAAACATTTGGGCGTTTCCGAAACAATTGACACAAGGGATCATTTTGTTCTACTATTACTGTAAACCTAGCACGTCAAGTTTGAGAAACAAGCAGATAATTAAGAAAGAAAGCAAAATTCTAGAATTCAGATTACTATGGAGCTAACCATTCAGCTAGGTTTCCAAAACTGCTGTGATTTTGCTGTGTTGTACTGCCTCTTGTGTGATACCTTTGCCGGTCATGATAGTTGTTGGTATCAATGTTCCGAATCCATTTATTTTGCTGTGCTGTATTGCTTTTACTTGATATTACTACTGTTAGAAATTAACAGATAGTTGTGAAGTGAGTGTATTTCAGATGGATCATTTACGCTATTGTGCAGTGTTAAGAGCTGCTAGATAAGACATTCTTCAAGAATAATATGCTTATGTATTCTAGGATAGCTGGTTCATTTGAAAGTCCGTTTTTTGAAGAGCTAGGAGATACTCCATTTCACAAAGAGCTGCAAGAGTCATCAGGGACAATTCTTTCAGCTTTGTGCTAATAATGGATTAGATTAAAATGGCTCATTTAAATTTCCGTTGCTGCTTAATTTTGGTGGAGTTGCCCGAAATCAATACATCAAATGCACCAATGCATCGTGGCTCATACTTAAACGACCTTTCTGTATTGAAATACGGAGTTAAGACTGGGTATGTTGAAATACAGGGATAATTAACTTCGGCTCATACTTAAACATCTTGACCCCCCAGGCCCCAACCGAGTTGGGAATATACTGGGTATGTTGTTGCTGTTGTTGTTTAGGTATATTATGCATATTAAGGAGGTCATTGAGAATCTAATTTATGCATTAGTTGTCTTTTGTATCCCCTGGCTAAATTTGGCTCTGATATTCTGATGGGACTACAAGAGTAATGGGAAAGTAGTTGGCGACTTAGCGTGATTAATATCTCTATTATAAGTGGGGATATGATAAGGGTAAAATTGGAATAGAAGTGATTAATTCAGCCTTGGAACTCCAAAGTGACTGATAAAAAGACCGTCTACATCTCCTAAAGAGACCCATATTTTGGAATGAAAAGTATATTCTTTAGGGACCTAGCAGCAATCGCCTGTCGAAACAATTTTATTCACTGAGCTGAGTTTTTGTGCCTTTTGACCAGCATGGATATTGTGTTCTGAGATGGAATGTTTGGTGCACTTATGATGACCTAGTTTCATGCTTTAGCTGACCATTTTTTTTGTAAATCTTTTGAATAATTAGGTTCAGGTATGGTTTCGGTTTTCTATTCTTACTCATGTCTTTTAACATTGGTTTCTTTGGAGTCAGATTCTGCCTAAAGATATAAAATGGGATGGCGAAGACCCTGAACTGTCTCATCATGCAGGTCATGCTGGCCAAGGTCATGGCTTGACTAGACCTGGTGGACATGTGGGGGATCTAGGTGCGGTGAGAGGTTGGGGTATGTCAAAAAGTCACTTGCACAAGAATTTCCCACCATCACAGGATGCCATGTGTGGATATTCAGTTACTCCACACAGATACTTTAATTAAGGAGGTAATAAAAAATTTGGGTGGTCTGCGGTAATATATCTGTTTATGTTTTGTGGGTTTTCTGAATTTTGTTTTTTAAAGGTTGAAAGGGTTTTCAGCTCTAATCACCCAGATCTTTTGGAGATTGAGAAGGCAAAGAAAGTGCTAAAGGTAAAGATTAAGAAGGCAAAGGATTATTTGAACAGAGTTCTGCAAGGGTTTTCGCTGATGACCCTTTAAGTATTAATCCTAGATCTGTAAGAACTCGAAATGGTCTCCAAAACAAGCAAGCTGCCGAAGTTATTTCAGGTGCTATTACATGGGGATTTGAAACCGAGAATTTTTGGGCAGTTCATTCGGCTGTATCTCATACAAATGCATCTCCAAGGGAAACAAGCCATTCCCAGGCGTGTTGGAGGTAAAGAATCTCAGAAGCCATCAAGCTCCCCAGCCTGCAGGATGGACTGGATTTTAGTTTCAGGTCTTTGAGATATTAAACACTCACCATCATTGTCGGATGTTTGGAGGTTACAGGTACATTGGTAAGAAAAACTGATGCTACCAACGGTTTGTTTTTTGGCACTAAACATTGCTGTGTAGATTTGCTTGCGGATTCAAGCATCTCATAACGGATGACTTTCAAAATATTTAGGGAATTGTGGACTGTAAAACTTGACATTTTTCTGCGGAAAGAAATGGCAAACAATTTTTATTTACTTTGCATCTTGTGGTACCTTGCTGCTTTCTTTTCTGCAAGCTGTGGGTTGGAAATTTTACTACTACTTTAATAAGGTGGTAGTTGTCTAATTGAGGTCAATTTTGAGCTATCTGTATTTCAAAAAGTTCACCGAATTCTTGCTAAAGTAGGACTTGTTTGTTACAAATTTAGATTTGTTGAACTTAGCCAAGTGCCAACTGTGTTTAACAGGGTTCTTTTCCAAGTTTTGTTGTTCCTGTAACATTCTCCAAACAAACCTAAAGAATATTACTCCCTCTGGTCCTAAGTATAAAGACATAAATTTTAACTAAGTGTACACTGCAAGTGTCCGAAACTGACTAATCCGAAGCATGAATCAGAACTTTGAAGACGGTATCGTGTTTCCCTTATCCCAGTCAAAACCCAAACGAGGGAATGAATACTCCATTCTCTTCTATCCTTCAGTTTCTCCTCTGTATCAGGGATTTTTCGACAGTACTATCTCTCTAAAGCCTCATGCAATCTTTGTGGGATTGATCTCAATAAGAATTTATTCCACAGCATGTAATGAATGAATATGGCTTTCTCATGATCTTCATACATGTTTACCAAACCGTGTGACTCATCCATGGTGGATTTTTAATTTGAACCGCTTCCATGATCTCTCTACTGAATAAGGAGCATGGCAAACCCCGGGATTTAGTCCTTAAGGAGCATTTCCTAGTTGCCAATTGTTATCTACTTTGGCTGTCGCAAAAATATCGTAACAAAAAATTTGTTGGTAACGGAATCTTTTTTTGAGTTTCGAGATGTAATATCAAACGCTTTACTCATGTCAACTTTGACTTTTGCTAAGCTGCTATAGTCAAACCATTTTGTCTTTCAATCAATGATTTTGTGTGTTTACTAGGTTGAACAAAAATTACAAAAAAGTTTGTATTTCTCATCATCGCACATTGGTCAAAACTTTGTTGAACGGGTATTAGTTGTTTGGTTTTCACATGGAATTCTTGTTGACTGCTTGTATGGCGGAGGAAAACTTTCAGTTTTGATCACCTTACAACAACCATTTTGTAATAGCAAGTTGACCTCCAATCTAGTCCTCGATCCTCAGACTTTTTCGTGTGTTTACGTTAGTTTGATATTCTTTCTAAAATAGATAGAACCCGATGGAATACCATTTTGTAAAAACAGATTTTCAGTAAACAATAAAAGTATTAAAATTTTTAGAGAAAACTTACAAAGAATGAAGCAGTAATAGACCAAAAAAATGATGTGAACAAAAGAAGTTAAAATGAATTGTATGAAATTATCACAGTATTCTTTAGATTATCTATCCTTGGCATGGGATGGAGACACAAAGAAAGGAAAACGATGTTTTTTCTTTAACACCGTAATAATGACTAATCAGTTTTGTTGAGTTTAAACTTTCAAGGGATTAACTCTTTAACGGCATTAGCAATGGTCAGCCCAGGTGGTTTACAATGATTTGACGATACTCCGGATTTTGTAAAATCTTGACTCCAACATGATTTAGTTGGTATATCTTACTAACATGTTGTAATAACTTATAGTTTTCAGACATTTACCTCCTTTATAGTACCCAACAAAAATTAACACTAGTGCTTGAACTTATAACATAGAGGAGGTGGAACTTTTACGTGGTGTTTGGTACTTGGTATTTATAAACTAAGAGGTCTAAATGTCTAATAATACATGTAAATCGTGAAGGGTAAAGTAAAGATATATTGTTTGTCCATTAATATTTTTCTATAATAGTATATCATCCTAATTGTGATGCGACACATTTATAACAACTAGGCTTTGTTGTCGTGCGTTGCACGATCAGTGTTTTTGTTACATTTTTATACATCGTTCGTAATTTAAAACATTTGCGATAGTTAAATTTCGGTAACACATTCAAAGGTTAATTTTGGCAAAAAGTGTAACAATTCAATTTTTTATTTTGTAATTTTTAGCACATTGTGTCTCTTTCTGTAATTGAATCATCTTATAGTTCAATTTTAATTCCAAGATTACCCGATGCATATCTAGAAATTGTTATATGTACATAACTAAAAGCCTCTTAGTGAGTTTAGAATCTTGAACGCCATTGGTCAGAAATTAAATTGAGCATTCTGATTGGCCCATTAGTTCACATGACATCATCAATTTTAAATTGAGCCCTTTGATTGGTTAATATATTAACATGACATCAGCAATTTATAACAAGGCTATAATGGTCAATTAATAAAGTTATTTTTCTTTTTTTGCCAACCAAAATACTCAAGTACTGAACTGGTCGCGCGACGAGAAAAGTTCTAGTTCCAAAGTAAATACCTGTAAAACAAGATCATATAACACATAAATCTAAATCCATCACTTCGATGAAATCACTAACATGGTGGATGAAATGTATTGGAAAATATGAATAACAATTTCTTGTACCAAAATATGACATCGTGGATATTATACCAAAATGAGAGGATCATGTAAATATCGCATGCGATTATAATATAACAATTTATATATAAATCGGTATTTATTGTTAATTAGTGACATGGGTCGGATTGTTCTTAACAAATATGATAACTTTGTTTCGTGAAGAAATGTTTTAATGAGCACGATGAACAAAATACACGAATGCACGTCAAATGTAGCATCTCACTGAGTAATTAGTATTTAAAAAGTTGGGTGTATTCACTATACGTGTAATGAATCAAAATGAAAAATCTTTTTTACTGTACATTGAACGAAAGATACTTTCAAAGCAGCATTCTTGGAAGAAAAGCCCAAAAATTCTTGTCATCAGAAAGGCAGGACCAACTGGTCCGGGGAAATGGTCACTATAAGGAGTTTGTTACTTCTGTTTCCCGATTCTTTGTTTCAGATCCCAGAAGTTTATGAAATGATATGAACTTTTTCTTTGCGTTTTGATCAGTTTAGCCCGGCAATTGATCTAATGACTATGGAAGAAAGGGCTAAGAAGTAAGAAGTAAAACGCTGAGAAACATAGGAAAGATTAAAGGTTATTTTGTTTTTACTATTGAAGAATGCATAGAAAGTGGCTTTCCCTTGAGTTTCAGGGAATGAAAGAAACTGAATACATCTCAAAACATTATTACTCAGCCTAATCCTTAAAGCTATCAAACAATAGATTAGTTATCCTATCCCAAATCTTTATCAATTAACTTGGGAAACCACTGATCACCATATACTTTCTTCGTTCTACATATATGAATTATGAAAAGAATACTATATAATAAAGAATATGAATACAATCCAATAACGGATTGAAGCCAATGCATCATTTTGCCAATTGTTAATTAAGCTACTATTTGTCCTGCTCTATGCACAGTTGATCAATCCATGATGGCACAATGTCATTGAACCCTCCATTACGCTTCTGCTCTGAGCTAAATAGTTAAACGTCTTTCACCAAGTAATTGACCTAAGAAACATCAGGTTCATCTATATTTGGAGTCCTACTACTTGTTGCGGCAAAGTAGAATTACTGTTATCGCAATACGCAAATGATGTTGACTTCCCCAGCTTGATTATACCTAAAAGCTGACATAGAGCAGTAAAAATGAGTGGTAGTGCAGAAGTTCATTGCCAAATCTGTCCAGATTATGCTTGAGATTTTTTTTGTGTACAGTAAAAATAAAATTCACAAGAAAAATATAGCTCTTAATATAAATTAAATTTGAAAATCAAGGCATCCACGTCACAAACTGCAAAACCTGTCATCTTGCGTATGATCTTAAAACTCTTACCTTGTGCAAGGTAGTTGCAAGCTTCCAAGTTCCATCCAGTGAAATTTTCAGTAGCTGTTTTAGTAGACAAAATGCCATTACAGAAATGGTACAAGGCCATAATTTTCTTAATATATTCTGTAAATTGAGACCTTCATTAAGGGAATCAAACGGCGTATATTAGTCTTTGGTCAGAAGAGTAGCAATTGGTTCGTTAACCTCTTCAACTACCGTCCCAATACCAATGACCCATCTAAAAAATTAAAACTTCGTTAGAAATAAGGGCTCGCGAGTCACAACTACACACAGATATGCTGCACATAAGCGTTGATTGAAGACAACATTATTAGCCAGACCTCTCAATAGCAGCTCAGTCAAATTTGAGCAAGAGAGCGAGAACAGATTAAATTAATCAATTCCAACTATTATGTTTGACTAAAAGAGAAAAGTTGTAATCAAGCAAACCAAAGCAAAACCCAAGATAACATCCACATATGCACCCAGATTTTTGAAAGGAGATTACAATACGAAGTTCAAAGAGAACCAAAAGCATGGAAGAATCAAATAGATGTTCGCAGAGCGAATCATTTGCAGGGGATAAATGTTTTAGACATGGATTTTCCCCTTATCATTGTGCAGAATAATGTATTAGTAGGCGACTGATCAACGATGTTAACTTTAGCAGTTCACCCTCGTTAAGGCTTGAAAATTATTTCTTTCTTATAATAGTTATTCATAAATATTAACTCTAGATCTCTATCCATTTAATTCTTATCCCACTGATAAAAACAACTTAGAAAGAAATTACTCCACTTCAGTAGAATTCCAACATATAGGAAACATCTTACCCAACTAAGATCAACCTCTAAGAACCCTTAGATTAAAATTACTCCGCTTCAGAATCATTCCAACATATAACAATGAACATAAGATAAGCCACAAAGTATGTTTGAACACGGGAATAATAAAAGCAAAAAAAGAGAGAAAGGGGGAAAACCTGATTGAGATTGTTCTCATGAAGAAAATGTACTTGCCTGAAGTGAACGGAGGAAACTTGCTTGAGTGAAAAAGAAGACGGTGCGTGCCACATAAGCCCATATACTGTCGATTCACAGCTTTCTAATAATCCTAATAAATTTGGTTATCTTTGTAATACAAAAGTATGAGAATGCATAATGAAGGAACAAAAATATTACCGCTTGCTAAAGTTGAAAAGCTCTGCCTTTAGTTTCAATGGGAACACTGATATGCTAATAGCTTCACTCAAATTCTGTGCTGCCCAAGTTCTTTCTTTTCTACTATGCAATTAAAATTTAAGCTAATTATTGAAGTCGAGAATTGAATGACAGCCTAGTGATTAGGTTGTTGTCTTTCTTGGTGATAGACCAGGGTTCGATTCCCACCAGGAGTTGTAAGGGAGATTTTATCCACATTTAAGTGGGGTCAACTGGGGTGGATTTTTATTTTTTATTTTTTTAAAAAAAGCTAATTATTGAAGTCTGTCCTATGCATCGAAACAAACTACGAAGAGATAACTCGTGGCTTCTACAAGCAATTGACAAAAAAAAGCATGAAAATTAACATTGAGAGAATCTCAAATGAACTACATATTTAATTGTACTTCAATCAGAATAAAAATTTAATAAAAATCAACTTAAAACTAACCTGAAACATAGCGGCAGCAGATCTCCGATGACAAGGCTCCACCACCACCACCGGCTGTCAATGCTTCACCACCACTGGCTGTGAGGAAAACAAACACCAGGAAGTCCAATTAGAGATGAGATCTTGAAGGCTTCAAGTTGTCAGCTGCGTTGAACTTCTCGCCGGTAATTAGGAAATTATTTTTCTATAACCCTAATACAAATCAGGATGGAATTCCAACTCACCGACAACCATCACCACCAACACCTCAGCCGCACGATCAAGTTCGAATCCAAAGTCTGGATTTTAATTTGGATGCCATGGGAAGCCGTGGAACTGACTGGATCGTGGCAGATGGGGAGGGCGATGACGGTGGTAATAATGATTGTAAAAATTCAGTTTATTTTTATAAGCTCTTTTAAAGCTTAAAACCTAAAACGACGTTTTTTGGACGGCAAGGGTTTTTTCCAAAAGCTTTACGGATTTTATGTCCAAAAAATGACATTATCCAAAATGACGTCGTTTTGTAGGTTGGAAGTTTTTCCCCAAAATCCAACGAAATTTTTAAATTGAGATTTATGAAATCCCGTTTATACCCCTAATAAGTCGCTGACGTCATATCAACCACATCCGACGGACAAGATCGCTTTGAAGGTGGCCCTAAATATTTCTTGGGCATTTAATTTCTTGCCTATTGTGCCTTTATATTAAGTATAAGGAAAAAAGAGATGTAGTAAGAATAGAAAATTACGTAAAATTTCTAATCCTAAGATTATGATGATTAAAAATGAATTGTGTGAAAAAAAAATTGCATCTACTATATCGAATCTGTCATTACACCAATGTCGTAAATTGTACTCCACTTTGTCCTAAAATTATTGTTTAGTTTGAGATTTCACTTTTAGTACAATTTGAACTAGAAATGAAAAATTAAACTGGACAATAATTATGGGACGGAGGGAGTAATTCTTACATATACTTGCGAAAGCCTTAATGATTATTTTAAATTTATTAATTATATTCTTAATACAACAAAAACAAGATAATGACTTTAAGAGTTTTTTTTTTTTTTTTGAAGTGAAGAGTTAGTTAATAGTGAAGTACAAAAATTTTCGAACAAAGTACCTGCCAAAGAGCATTTGATTTTCCTACGTGGCGCTGATGTTAAGTCCAAACTCCAAAAAATAAAAAGATAAAAGAAAGTGAAAAAAAAAAGATGAGAACTAAAATGAAGAGCCGGAGTTCAAAATCCGGAAACCCGGAAAACGCCAAAAAACAAACCAAAAAGGAGGCGGGCTGGGGCGGGCGGATTCGAAACCCAGCCCTCAATTGGGGAACCCAAACCCGGCTCTAAACTCGTTTCAAGTCCGCGTTCACTCATCGTCGTGAACTCTCCTCCGAATCTCAGACCCTATCATTCGATTCGCCTCCCTTCAAACCCTAACCCCTCTTTCCCACGTTCAATTGCGTGGTTTTACCTACTTAATTCCCCTCCAATTCCTTCAATTTCGTCGCCGTGTGGTTGAATTAATCAGGGTTTTTTTTTTCTTTTTGTGGTTCTGCAATCGTCCAAGTAGAGTGTGTTCAAGCTGGCTATGGATTACCCACCGTACGATAGCAGTGGTGAGCTACTTCGAACTTGTTATTGTGTTTTTGTTGCGAATTTTTTTGGTAAAGATTCACTTTTGCTTAGTTTTATTGTGATTTTTTCGTGGGTCTAGTGAGTTAATTCTCGAATTTGGGGCTTCTCTTGAGAAAATTGGGGTGTTTGATCTCGCTTTTTGTTAGGATGGAATATTTTATGCGTTTGTGGATGTTGTTGAGTTCTCTTGGAGCTTCCAAGTTGGTGAAAATTGTGTTCTTGAGGTAGCAATATGGCATTCCCTGTGTTTGGTTTTTGTTAGGAACCTGCCCTTTCAAGATCAAGGTTTTCTTGGCGGAATATTTGCCCTTTTTTCTTCTTCTTCTTATTCTTCCTCTTCTTTTTTTTTTTAATTTTTTTTCCTCTTGTTATATATTGTTGCTGTGTGTTGGAAGGGAAAATAAAGGCTAGAATGCCGCAAGTTTGCGTAGCCTGCTTTGCAAGGGTATAGTTTGATTGCTTGAAAATTTGTATCTGTCATGAAGAAGTTTTTGGATACTCTGTTATACATGGTGGTTTTGGAAATTTCTGAGACACTGAAGTTTAGAATTGTGGGATTAGCTTGTCAAAGAGATTGAAGTTGTGTGTTAACATCCAGTTAATGTTTTGGTTGTTGAACATTTTATGTGCTACAGTGCGGTTAAGTTAAGAATTGAATAGTGTTACAGATTTTAGAGGCACTGATCTATTTGTAGGAGGACACATTAGATTTGTAGGAGCACGCATTAGATGTGTTCTTGCATCAGAATATTGATTCCCAAGTGGGAGAATGTTTCAATCTGCTATCATTTTTTTTCCTTAATTTCTTGAGGAATATATTTTTTTTTCCAAAGTTCCTATGACATTGTTGATATGATGACTGTAGCTGTGAAATTGACACAATTGATCCTCAATTATCAAGAATTTCACTTGCTATGAGATTAACTTCAAAGACTTGGGGACATTTTTTCTCTATTAATTCTGCATTAGTTAAAGAATCTCTGCATGCCACATCTTCCTTAAGCATACATGTTCAGTACTATTTGAAGTGGTTTTATTGATATCCTAGTTCAAGCATATTTGAAATCTCCTTGGCAGTTTTTTCAATGATGACTATGTTGGTGCTCTAAAAATTGGATAGTAAGACTTTTTGTTGTTACGCTGTTGATGAAATTATGTTTTATGAAAAAATAAAATAAAATTATGTTTTATGAATTCCTACTCCATCCAGTTTATGCAACTTTCTCTGACCATAAAATAAATGCAGGAACTGATGATGATCTTCCTCCATCGCATCAAAATAGAGTGCCACGAGGTGGTCGGGTTGCTGGTAATGGTAGACCACCCGTTATGGGGTCGGTGCCATATCCTAGGATGTATGGTGATACTGATATGGAGGCCCAAATTCATCAGCTAGAGCAAGAAGCGTACAGTTCGGTCTTAAGAGCCTTTAAAGCTCAAGCTGATGCCATTTCCTGGGTACCATGTTTTTTACTCTGTTCTCATCATCTGTATATTTGGTCATATTAAGTTTGAATTGCTGCTCATGAGTTATATTTTTTGCAGGAAAAGGAAAGTTTGATAACTGAACTTAGAAAAGAGTTAAGATTGTCAAATGAAGAACATAGGGAGCTTCTTGGCAGGGTTAACGCAGACGATGTGATCAGAAGAATAAGGTCTGGTTATATAAAACAAGTTTCTTCTCCACAAGTTTATGAAATGAGACATTGAATTGTATTCCCTGATAACCTCTACTGTAAACTTCTGGTGAATGTAATCAGGGAGTGGAGGCAGTCAGGTGGACATCAACAGCCCATGCAACCTGTCCATGATCCAGTACCCAGTCCTCCTATAGCAGCTCCGCGTAAGAAACAGAAAACAGTACCTACGATACCTCCTCAAACATTTGGAGGCCTGTCTCCTCCCTTCCATCCCCAGGCTGGACCGAATCAGCCATCTTCTTCAATAAAGCGACCTGGGACGGGGCCAAAGGGAAAGAAACCCAAACCAGTATGTCAAGTTCTTGTTCAAAGTGTCAGAAATTCTGACTGTCCCATGTTATCTTTCTCTTAGAACTTCCCTTTTTTTGTGTGTGTGTGATAGGGACAAGCTGTACCTGGAGGGCCTCCCATGAAAATGCAGTACCCTCCCTCTGGTCCAACTGGGAGAAATCAATTCGTCCATCGGCCTGCTTCTGGTGGTCATGAACCAACTGAGTCAGGGTCATTTCATCCATTGATAGGTAGGAAAGTAAGGACCAGATGGCCAGATGACAATAACTTCTATGAAGCAGTTATAACTGACTATAATGCAGTGGAGGTATTCCCTGGCCTTTATTGTTGCAATTTACTTTCCCGTTGCTGCAATGCTGATGTTATTATCTCGTGGCATCTATTTATAGGGCTTACATGCTCTTGTTTATGATATCGGCTCTGCAAATGAAACCTGGGAATGGGTCAATCTTTCAGAGGTATATGGTTGTTATTCATTTAAAAAAGTTACATAGTAGAACTGACCATGAATATATGTTTGGTCCTTACGATATTCTGTGCATGCTATTGTTTGATATAATGATGATATAATGAAGAGGTATATGCTACTGTCATGGTGCATCTCAAAAGCTTCATGACTATAACTGTAAGGTTGTCTTGTAAAAGTTTACTGTCTTCTCAAGTATTGGTTTTCACTTCCAGGTAGTATCTACTTTAGCTTGGTTGACTATTGTGCCATAGTTTATTCAAATAAGCGCATGATATATCAGTTAGTTATGCAAACAAAACATGATACAGCAGTGTTTCGCCTAGTCTTTGTTCTGCAGGGAGAACTTTGTAAAATCAAGATAATGAAGGTTCATTTCAGCCGCAATGATTCGTTGCAGAATCCTGCAAATTTGAATGATGCTTTATGTTTTTGGATGTCTGTAATTGCTCATATAGTTGAAAGTTTTTTATGTACCTTTCTCATCAGACATTTAGGCTTTCTGAAACTATTGACAGAAGTAATTGTTGGTTCAAATACTGCTGTAAATGTAGCACACCTAGTTGGAGAAAGAAGCAAATAATGAAGAAAGAACGCAAAATTCTAGAACTCAGATTACTATGGAGTCAACCGCTGTGCTAGTTTTCCAAAACTGCTGTGATGTTACTGTGTTGTCATAATTGTTGCTACCAATGATCTGAATACATTAATTTTGTTGTGCTGTATTGCTTGTGTTTGATATTAGAACCATTGGAAATTAACAGATGGTTGTGAAGTTAGTGTATTTTACATGGTTCATTTACACTGTTGTGCGGTGTTAAGAGCTGCTATATAGGATGTTCTTCAAGAATATTATGCTTATGTATTATGGAATAGTTTATTCATTTGAAAGTCTCTTGTTTGAAAAGCTGGGAGATACTCCCATCATTTCAAAATATGGGTCATTTTAGGTATATTAAGGAGGTCATTGGAATCTAATCTATTTGTTAATTGCCTTTTGTATCTCCTGGGTAAATTTGCTTTATCTGACCAATTGTTTTGGAATTTTTGGATAATTAAGTTCAGGTATGGTTTTGGTTTTCTATTCTTACTCATGTCTTTTAACAATGGTTTCTTTGGAGATCAGATTCCGCCCAAAGATATAAAATGGGATGGCGAAGACCCTGGACTATCTCATCATGGTAGTCATGCTGGCCAAGGTCATGGCTTGACTAGACCTGGTGTACGCGAGGGGGTTCCAGGTGCAGGGAGAGGCCGGGGTATGTCAAAAAGTCACTCACGCAAGGATTTTCCTCCATCACAGAATGGCATTGGAAAGAAGGGATCAGATGATATTCAGTTACTTCACACAGATACTTTAATTAAGGAGGTAATAAAATAATTTGAGTGGTCCGCGGTATGATATCTATTTACGTTTTGTAAGTTTCCTGACTGTTGATTTTTACAGGTTGAAAGGGTTTTCAGTTCTAATCACCCAGATCCTCTGGAGATTGAGAAGGCAAAGAAAGTGCTAAAGGTGAGAAAGCATAATGTTTTAGCCTAATTATCCTTGCTTTGTCACATGATCCTCAGCAGCAGTGTGATATCTTTGTGATACAGGAACATGAACAAGCGCTCACAGATGCAATTGCAAGGCTTGGTGAGATTTCTGACGGTGAAAGTGGTAAAGATTTGCTTACACCCCTATCTATACTATCATGATTTTAGATTTCTTACAGGGAAAGTGGTAAAGATTTGTTTATACTGATATTTATAATTCTTTTCACATGCACCCTCATCTTTTTTTATTGAGTGCTTTTCTGGCTTCAATGTTGAATTCGTTGCGGTTTTATGTCTTTGGAAGAGCATGTTTATAGGCTTTTAATGTTCTCATATGGTTGGGACATTGTATTTTCATATGCTTGGCATTTGAAGCAGCCCAGCACAGCTGATATATTTTGTTCACAAACTTGGTAGCGGTATATTTGCACGGGAGAACTAGTCATTTGCTGGAAATATATGTTAGAACCATTACAAGATTAATTTCCATCAGCTTTTCCAAGTTGTACAGTTGGTCGTCATTTTGCTCTTGCAGTTTTCCATTTAATTAATTTACTGTTCACTGTTAAGATCTTGAGGAAAATTGAAATTTACAAATACTTGAACTTTACTTCTTGCTGTATATAACAGACGGAGGAGGCCATTTCTTGCATGGTCAATCACTCGATCATGAATGACAATTCAATGAACGGACAATAGAGTAGCAAATATGGGTGAGGAAAAGGCACATTCTGGTTGACAACTTTTGAATGGGATGATTTTACATGATGGCAGGTGCATGTGTTGTGTTGAATTGTAGGGCTCTGTTGTATAATTTGGCCGATCGTAAGTTTGCCTTAACAGTTGAATTGTTGTAGCGTTTAGTTATTTAGTCCAGGCTAATTATTAGGTGGGGTTGATACCGCTTATATTAAGAGTCAGTTATGAGAATCTGTAAAACTACTTTAGATGCGACCAGCATAATTGTGTAAAAAGCTCGCTTTGTTTCTTGTCAAGTCTCCATCTAGGCATTGGTGGCCTCTGCTTAAAAAGCAAACCATTCTTCATATGATAGACAGTTAAAGGATCTGTAAAATTGAACTGGTCACCAGCATATTTTTGGAAGAAGTCAGACATTTCTGTTCTTCCGGCATCGGTTATCTTTGGCATTGTAGTTCTCTTTTTAATACTACTTGGTTCGTCATAAAAAAAAAAAAAAAAAGAAAGTCTTGTTTGCATTGAAAGCTTGGAATCTTCTTATGGGTTTCTCAAAAATCCAATTTAAGGGTCGTCAATCGCTTAAGTATGGGAAGTGCAGTCAAAACGTGTCTCAACAAGAGGAAAGAAAACATTCCAAAAAGGTGAGGGAACATGTTACATCTCATTTTCTGATTTCCCAGATACCCAGTAACCTAAGTATGTTTTACATTCAAAATCTAAATTCTAAACTTTGAAATTGAATCATCTATGGCTTTACAAAAAAAATTATCATTTCCTAATCTTTTTTCCCAATCTGAACTAATGTCACCTCTGAATGAAACTACCTCGCCCGTTTCTTAACCCTCTGTGAAGATCCTTCTCCATCATCATCCCTACCCCGCTTCTTTCCGGTTGGTACAACTTCTTTTCCTTTCCTCGTCGGTCTTCCTGTGTTCCTCTTGGAGGGACTAATCTCCTCTTTTATTTGCCTTTTACCGCCAGCACCGCTTCGTCTGGCGGGTCCATCTTTCCCCTCATCCACCTTTTTCTTTTGTTGTTGATCCTTTTTACCGCCTTTTGCATTATTTTCCTTGGAATTTTTCGATGTCTCCTCTACTGTCCCCTTTGCCGGTGAGTTTTTCTTCATTCTCTTGAGGAAGTCTGCGGCACTGCCCTTTTTAGTAGTAGTGACAGCGGCTTCGGACTTCTTCTTGTTGTCCCCTTTATCCTTTACACCGTGTTGCTGGGAAGTGTTTAAGTTTTTTACGCTGCTAACGTTGCTCGAAGGTTCTGTCTTGTGGCCGACCATTGTCCTAGCTTGACTGCCTCTCCTCTGGCTTCTTGTTCCAGTCACCGGCTTTTCTTTAAGTTTTAACTTCGGCGACTCATCCTCTTCATCTGAGGTACTCGAAGGAGACTTGACTGGTTTCGAATTGGCAAACGGCTTCTCATTCTCCTTTTGCTTCTCAACTTTGTTGGCGACTGAAGATTTAGCTGATGAAATTGAACTTCTCTTCCTGCAAACCACAACAATGGGAGGGTTCGTTGGCTTATTTCTAGGAGGCAAAGAGTCTGATCTCTCGGGGTTATCATCAAGTTTTACGGGTCGACGAGGTTCGGACGAGGTGGAGGCTTTATTGTTGATGTTGTTCTTCTTCATCTCCTTCACGACAAGTCCACGAAGCTCCTGCGCTGCTACTGACTGGGAAGAAGCCTTTGGGAAGTAGACAATCGCATTGTTGAAGAGAAGCAAAAGATCAACGTAAAATCTGTCGGGGCATGAAAAATAGGATCCATCGTCGATCCGGCTTTGAATAGTTTCAAGATCGACATGTCTTCGAATCGTTTTCTTGTACTTTTCTGTTTTCTGCATCGAATAAGGGTCAAAGATTCCGGTCAGTTCAGCATTTTACTCTTTGAGATATTCAAATAATTAATCAACGAATCATTAACATAAAGTTTGTGCACAAATCAATATATTAACGTTTACGTTATCACAAAAATGAAAATATTTACGTCCATGGGTAATTTAGACAGAGTAGGTGGGATGCACCGGCTTTTGTACCTAATTTGCAATTTGTCTTTCCATATTTAGTTCAATAACAAAAGGCAAAAAGAACTGAATTCAATGATGTTACAAAAGTTTCAATAATTAATTTATCTTCTATATATTTTTTGAGATTTGGCTTATATATATTTAAATCCATGACAAAAGGCAAAAGAAATAAAATCATTGCTGTTACAAAAGATACAATTATTATTTAGATATAACTACAAAAATAAAATTATGCCTTTCTTTTTAACAGATAAGGTATAAACTCATCATAATTACCTTTTCAAATTTCAATTGTGAGTTTATCTACTAACTTACATTTAATACCATTTGACACAAAATAAATCATAAGATTATACATTTCACAAACATACCATTAAATAAATTGGTATATTACCGCAGAAGTCCTTTTTCTTTTCTAGGGTGGAAAGATACTTAATAAATTACGAAAATAACAGTTAGTAATTACTTTCTAGTAGAACAAACAAAGCAATCATTTCAAGTTGGCGAAAGTACTAAATTTTTTATTAAAAAAAAAAGAAAGAAAGAAAAGAAGAAATTTTATCTTAAAAAACAAAACTCAAACTGCTAATAGCTGATCCATGAATAAATGAGCTGTGTTTAGACACTTTTTATTTTATTTGCTTTGGGATGGCAAAGAAAATCAACAAGCCCATTTGCATTAGTTACGGAAACCCAAATTATTTATTGGGCTCTAAAACAAATATTCTCAAGCAATCCAAAAAAACAATAGAATGTCAGACACCAAAAAGTTGTCCAGATCCAGGGATAACTGAAAGATACAACAATTGTGGCCTTGTGGGACCTTTTACATCCAAATCGATCCATAATTCCTATAATCTGTGCCATGTGTTGTAGATTACGTTGTGAACGGTTCAAACTGTGATCCCTTCAATTCTGAGATCTAAAGCAATCTTTCCCAGAGCCGTATTGGATATTTAATTTAGCCGTACTACTTTGATGACATAGTTTCTAATCAGCCCATTAATCACTACTAATTTATTTCCACAAAATATTTTTCAACCTTAGATTTTTCTTTTTCCTATGCAAAATTATACTCCATCCGTCCCATAATTATTGTCCAGTTTGGATTTTTATTTTCAGTTCAAATTGTACTAAAATTGAAATATCAAACTGGACAATAATTTTAGGATAGAGAGAGTAGTGTCTTTTCTTGCTTACAAATAGAAAAAAAAAAAGTAATGAATACATTTTAAAATTATGATGGTTTTGATGGAATAAGTAACATGTAAGATCCAAATAACGACAATAATAATTATCTTTTCAAAAATTTAAACAATAATTCATCATACACACCAATCATGATAACAAAATCAATATTTTCTTTTCACTATTTAGATCATTACTTAAAAATTTCACCAGTGCATACATAACAATAAGATAATTTAGATAAGTATAAGTAACTCCATTTGAAACATCTTATAGTATAGACAAATACGACAATGAATTACTGTTAGAGCACAAAAGTCAAACACAGAAGTACGTTCTTAACGCATAACTATAAAACTGTTTGAGGAAACAAAAAAAAAAAAAAATTGAAATGAGAAGATGCACCCATGTACTTCAAAGTTTCATTTTCATTTTTTCCGTTCTTGTTTCCAACCTTCCAGATATCGTCGAACCATATGGAAAAATGGATAGCACGCAGCACACGTCAAAAAATAAAAATAAAAATAAAAAATAAAAAAATTCCTAAATTAAAACCAATGAATGCGCAGAGAAAAAGTACATACGGAAGGAAATATGAGTCATTGATTAATGCCAAAATAAGCATTAAGATTAAAATAAAATCCTATGTCTTCCGAGTCTTCGTCCTAATACCGAAGTCATTGGTTGTGTACTTTTGTTCACTTAACTTGCTTTTTAGATGCAACCTTCCTTACCCACTTTTTTTAAAAATCTATTTCCATATATCGAAGCTCAAAACAAAGACGCACTCAAACGAATAAAACCACAAACAATATCGATTGATTACATGGTTTAAGTACTAAGCACAATTATTAGGACTCCACAACACCCATTAATTAAAAGGAAAAATTAAGGAAAAAAATGAAATTGAACCGTACTATCTAGCCGGTTCACCCTAACCACATGAAACGAAAGACGACTTGGCAATGAAAAATTAGGAGGTGGCGGGCCTGGCAACGTCGCTATTTGCTCCTAGATCTTCGAGCAAACCCAAAAAAAAATGTAGAGAAAATTGATAGAGAATGAACCTATAAAATGTACCCTGGTTCGGTTAAATACTTAAATTAGTTTGAACTTGTACTTTCAAAAACAAACTTGAAAAAAGTTGATCAGATTTGCTGAATTTTTTTTTCCCTTTCTAAGATGCAAATCACATATCATCATCTAATACTCCTCCGTCCGGGAAAAAAAGAAAAAATCTACTCCCTCTGTCCCAAAATTATTGTCTAGTTTCAGATTTCACTTTTAGTACAATTTCAACTAAAAATAAAAACTTAAACCGGACAATAATTATACGACGGAGGGAGTATTAATTATTTTTGAAGAAAAAAAAAGGAATAAATACTTCCTTAAATTCAATAAAGGGACTAGAGAGAGTTAATTATGAAACACAATCTATATCATCTGCATAGTACACCTTGACCACCTCACTTGTTACCATAGATCACGTGCAAATTCCCCTTTCATTTTGTCTTATTTTACTGCAGTTATTTTTACAAAACAAAAAATATTTTCCCTATTCGGGTAAAAGTTGATTAGGAAATTCATAAGTGAAACGTACACACACATTTTCAATTATCTCTGCAGGGAGTTCTGCGTAAATAATCCACAAACTTTTTTTTTTCTTTTTTTACTTTCGTAAAGGCGCGGCACTCCATCACCGCCAAGTGGTCCCCCGGCGGTCAAGTTAATCAAAACGGCATAAAATCGGAGATCATATTATTACTCTAACAAAGAAATTTAACCGATTTAATAAAAACAACTGGATCATTACCTGGATTTGGAGCCGGCGTTCGAACACCGAGCCTAGTTTGTGTCCCCGTATTTTATCCAAAAGTGAAAACACAGCTGACGGCTCTAATTTTCCACCACCACTACTTTTCCCCCTTTCCCGTTTTATCGGGTCGGTGGTACCAATTCCGCCGCCGTCACGCTCCCCTTTCTTCTTCCTCTTATTATCCGTTAACAGACTGGCCGAACTTTGTACGTCACTGCTCTCTTTCGTCCCTTCCTCCTTTGACTCGTCCGAGTCGCTCCGGCCGACGTTCTTTTCCTTCACTTGAGTTATCTTCTTTTTCTTCTTATAAACCTCGTGCCGGTCTGAGCTGTCATTGCACGAGTCTTCTCGCCCGACGCCAGTCGGTTTCACACGAGGATCCGGTTTTTGCTCGACCGGTTCGGTTTCCGGTTCGGTTTTCAAAAAGGCTCCTCTGTTCCCCGCCGAATTAGACTCGTTGAATGATATGTTCTCGGCGTCGCCGGCCGAACCGGAGACGGATTTCCCGGCGACCTCCGCCGGCGGTGTCTCTTTTCCGCCGCTGTCTGTTATTTTGTCGTTTTCTGATCCCTCACGTTTTACTTCCTCGTCATCCAGATCTGGTTCCCGCTGTTTCACGTCGTCGTTTCGGTCGGATGATTTCAAGTTGTTCTCTCTCTCCTCCTCCATCGTCTTCACTTTAATCTGCAACGACCTGCCAAATTCACAGATCAGATCTAAAACATTAATTTTATACGTAAAATTGGCAAAATCAAGTCAAAATTTTTTTTCCTCCGATATAATTTTTATCAAACAAAAGATTTATAAAATAATAAATAAATGAAAATAACGATTACTTACCGGATCGAAGCGTCGTGCCGATGAACCTCTTGCCTGAGTTCGGCCACCCGGAGTTTCCTCAACTCCTCCAGCCAAGGGAAAGCATCGTCCCCGCCGCCGCCGCCGCCGCCACCTGAACCTCCATCGTGTTCGTCGTCATCATCAGATTGAAACTTGGAGTCGTCATCATTCACACTGCTTCCGGCACCACCGCCTTCACTACTCCCGTCGTGGTGGTGGTGATGATTGTTGGTGAACCGTCGTTTCAGATTCCGGTATCTATCTTTACAAATTTGGGCGGTAAACGCGGCCGAGGACGGCCAGGAGCTGCCGCTGCCGCCGCGGTGGTGGTGGTGGTGGCGATTCTGGAGCTCCGTCGCCACCGTATCCCAGTCATTCAAACCATGGCGCTTCACGGCAAACGCAAGCAATAGTTCCTCCCACGTACTCCACACCACTCCTTCCTCCCCTTCCTCTTTTGTATCTATCTCTTGTATCGTGTTTGACATAATACTCTTCACCATAACAACTTCCGCATACATAAAAACATATATATTCGGGGAATAAACTCCCGCACATATGCAAAAAATAAAAATAAAAAACAAAAACCAAAACCAAACACGTCTTTATTTCAGGCTTTGCGTAGCCATGTTTTAGGGTTTTTTTATTTTTCGATTTCCAGCTCTTCCGCCGTTGTTAATTGTGTTACAGATTTAAAAAGACTTTTTTGTAAGCTTTTTGTTTTTGTGATATTTTTGTTGTTTTTTTTTTTTTTTTGTCTAAAAAGATTGCGTTTAAAGAGGTTATGGGGGGTTTTTAAAACCGAAGAGAGAGTTTGTGCTTCTTTTTTTTTTTTTCCTTGCGTTGGGTGTGAATTGGGACTGTACGACTAATGTGATGAGAGTTCATATATAAAAGAAGAAAAAGAAAAAAATTGGTGGGAGGGATCAGGGAAAGAGCTGAGTAAACGAACCCCACGTAGAGAGACTGCAAATAGTTCCGGACTTAACGGGGTTTCGGCCCTGATCCTTATGGGAGAGATGGGCCTTATGATTCTTTTACTCTGTTTAATAGGTTGATAACTACACTAACTAAACTCAAATACTAGTGTTAAATTACCACCTTTTTCAATCTAATAAAATTGATTGCCCTTTTTAAATTTTTTTTTTTTGAGTAAATTATATCATAATAATAAAATAAAATTCCTACGGGGACATCTTCATTTGAATTATTATCAAAATAAAACCGAAATCAGGATCTGTAAAAAGTTTTCGTAGGGCCAAATTATACATATAAAATTCATATTACACATTTTAACAGGTTCTCTATCTATGTTTGCATACAAATAATAGAGTTGTAATTTATATATTACCTTTGAATGAAATAATACTAGTATAATTTTACGTTCTCAATACATACTTTTACATTCGTAATATGAACACATTAAAAAAATCGTGGTAGTATATAAAGTATATAAAAGAAGGAGACAACTTCTTTTGTATCTCGTTCAGCTGCTATAATGTTACATTCTATTTGTTTTAGAAAAATAGTCAAGATGTTGGAAAAAAGAATGTTTAATTTAATCAACCAAACAAAGTAGAATCCACCATATAATCTAAATTACTATTTCTATCCTACTTATTATCATATATTCACGGAAAATGATATATAGTGAATAAAAATAGTGACAAAAATATAATGACTGATGTGAATTAATCATGGCCCTTAGTTTTTTGTCACTTTCTCGTTTAAATTTTATTTTTTTCCTAAAAATTATATTTTTAACCTTTATTAATAACTCGACATGTTTAATAAGTGTGTGATGTATTTGTCTTTTCATTTGTCACCATCCAAAATTACTATAATTTTCACCGTATCATTGCTCTATATTCACATGGGGTAACTGGACAATTTTAATTATTGACATTAAAATTTAACATTATATAAGAAGGAAACATTTTTAATTGCATTTCTTATGTAATTGACATATGGCAATTCATATAAATCATCAAATTAAATTATTTAATTGCAACGCAACTAAATATTGCAAAAGTGTGGTATTTTGATACATTTAGTAGTACAGAGTATGTTCAATCACATCTTAGTTATTATCTAATTAAATTAGAATTAATTCTAAAGCAATCATATCTTATGTAATCGAATTAGTTTTATTATCTGGCATGCAAATAAGCTTATATCCATATTTAACTAATAAGATATCTGGGGCCTCCGTTGAACGTTGTGCGGCCTAAGATATGAGAATATTCAGTCACTTTAATGAAATTGGCTTTGACTTTTATGACATTGGATTTATTTTTTCCAATAAAATTCTTCAAGAAACTGGATTTTGTTATATGTATATATACATAACTTAAGACCTTTTGTACATAAATGTATTCAATTCAATTCTATTTGAATCTGAATTAAACAATTTCTTTTAGAGGATCAAATGGAGGAGTACATTTTATTTTTATTTTGTTTACTTGGCAGCTCACATTTAATAATTGTCTCAAAACTCTATAATTCATGCTTATATTTTTCACTTTTCTTGTCTTTTTGAGTCCGTTCATGATTTAAGACACCGTGTTAATGATTAGGAAATGGAAAGGACGACCGTGCCCTTAAGGAATTCGATTACTTTATCTTTCAATCTTTCTGTCCCATTCTTCAAGTGCTTAGGTTGTAAATTCACTCACTGAAAAAGGGAGTTTGCACATTTACGGAATTACGTCGGGTTCCGTTGTTGATTTCTTGCCGTTTTTGTTCGGTCCGGTTCCGGAGATACTAGTTGGGCATTTTTTGAGGGATGTGATTAGATTTGTCCTGGACTAGAAAGGTACCTTAATTTGACATTTAAAATTTACCCCCTTTTATTCTGTATGTTTAAACCACTTAAATTTAGTACTTTCTCTGTTCTGAAATCGTTATCCATTTTAGATTTTCATTTTTAGAATAAACTGAACTAAAATTATAAGATCAAATTGGACAATAATTTTTGAGACATAAGGAGTATTTATATGGTTATCTGAGAATTGAATGACTGATTAGGTTACTGTCATTCATGGTAATAGACTAGGTTCGATTTTCACGAGTAATTGTAAGAGAATTTTTATCCACATTTAAGTGGGGGTCACAGGAATGAATTTTTTTAAAATAATTTTTTTTAAAAAATTTTGTGTGGTTATCTATACATTTGAAAAAAAAAAAAGAGTGATTTTGTGACTCCTTATTCTTTCTAGCCTTCTAGGTACTATCGAAATAATTCAATGAGTGAGAACGTCTCTCTCTTTTCAAGGCAGAGTAAGATTTATTTGGGAGAGAAAAGAAAATATAAGTAAACAAAAAAGGTACCCACTATTCATTGGGTTTCTTCCTTTTTCCCTATATATGCAATTTTGTTATTTTAATTTAGAATAAAATTTACTAAAAAGTCATTATGCAAAGTTCATCTAATTCAAAACTAAGTACTATATTTACATTACATCGTGGTAAATTATTGAGTTTTCACTGTCATACTGTCGCCGACTATTATTAGTTAGAATGGAACTATATAATTTTAAAATCCAACGAAACTCCAAGAATCAAGTCGGTAAAATATTTGAGTACTTAATGTCTTAATAAATAGAATCACATTATTGGAATTCAACGTTTGAATTGTGTGTATATGGATTAGATTAAGGCGCAATAATTTGTAAATTAAGCGGTTTGTCTAACTTTGTCCATATTTATATTCTCATATCGACAGTGCTCAACTTGGGTAATTTTGAGCGTTAGAAGAAATTCTAATATTTTGTCAAAGTTTTTTTTGTGAATCTTAGTTGATAGACATAATAATTGTTGACTCGCCATTTCGTAAAAAACTCTTTAGAGAGTGTCCATTCTAAGTTATATCATCACATAAAATAAATTAGTATAGTTTATGACCTTTGTTACCATTCTATTTGTTCATTTGGCGCCATTAGCTTATGCAGTTGTTTCATTTTTCTAGACAAGGTAATTTATTTATTTTGTCCTATTTATTTATTTTTTGAAGTAACTATTTTTTACCTTCATATTCGTAGAAGGCGTCACCGTCATGGACCATATCAGCACAAAGGGAACAAAAGATTATGAGAATCGATCCACCAGAATCTATTGGGTTTCTCATCACAGGGACATTGCAGAAAATATCAGGCATTGCGGATGTCATATTGGGCTTTTAGTTTATTTTTGATAGATATGGAGGCCCATTTGAAATTTTACTTAAGTATTAAGACAGAAAAATCAGCGCGGGACTAAACGATTAAAATGAATAAATTTGAATCTAAACTTTGAGTTCCGGCGAAGCCGCCTCACTCGGTGTCTCTCTTTAGACTCTTTACTGTTTCGTCGGCTCTGCCAGTCGGAAAACCGACCTAGGGTTTCGCTTCAAAATTTTACCATAATTCCTTCCAGATTGGAATTTCTCGTCGTTTCTGTTATTAATTTCGCATAGGAAAAGGAATCTCGTTCCGATTCTGTAAAATTTAGCGACAGTAATTCTAGTAGCGAAGTTTTAATTGACAATGGAGTTTGAGGGACGCAAGAGGGAAAGGTCAGACGATGCTTTGGCTGGTAATGGCGGCTTCAAAAAGTCCAGGGATGGTTAGTTCATTAGTTCTCTTCTTGTTCGCTGATATTCCCTTTTTGGTTTTTTTCCCCCTAGTGATTGTTACTCTTTTGTTTTTATTTTTTTAATTTTTTATTTTATTTTATATGCTTCTTAACTTATGCTCTGGGTGCAATCTTTAGAAGTTTAGTATTTTTTTGTGAATTTTTCGTTTATTTGATTCTCCGGGGAAATTGTTTTTTACTAGTCTATTAGGAGGATAATTTTAAACTGTATAAGTTTGTGAATTACCAATGTATCTTTTGTTTTGTTACCCTAAACCCGTCCCTTAGTCAATAGTTAGAGATTTTTATAATCCCACTTTAACATTGGTTTACTACTGCAATTGCTATGGGGTGGATTTAATGTCGGAGTTCTGTGTAGTTTCAGAGCCTTCATTGTTAGCTTTAGGGAATGTGAAGGATTAATTGTTAGCTTGATGAATTTGCGTATAACTTTGCAATACGTTGCTTATGTAATTGGATGGTTCTTAGGTGGCTGGGTTATCTAGATTGATACATGAAAGTTCAATTGACATGGAAATTTTTTTGAAGGGTTGTGATGTTAAAATGTTGTGTTTATTCTCTGATTGTATTGCAGATATGTTGGCCTAAAAGTAATTTATTTGTGTATAGCAATTTCTCTCTGCTGTTTTGATGGCTGCATTTTAGTTTTTATTTCCAGTAAAAGTCCTTTCTCCAATGTTAATTATCTGAAGGGAAAGTGTTCTTCCTGCTGTACTTCCATCAGTGCCCTGTCTGATTGAGATTAAATGTGAAAAATTCATTATGTTTTTTTTTTTTTTTTGCTTTTTAGTAAGGGTTTTGTTACAAGTTAGTTAGATGTTGCTTGAAGCACATACAAAGTAATAAAGATTGTCCCTTTTACTGAAACTGAATATTTTCTACTGGGAAGAAGGAAGTGTTTGTTTCCAAACTAAATACGGTTTCTCTTTGGATGAACTCGGGTATATACCTGATGCATGTGATATGTAATAAACTGTCACCCTTGAATGTTTGATTCTTATTCTGTCCTTTTTTGCTCTTTATAGTATTATCTAGTTAGTAAATGGAAGCTTGTTGGGTAAAACATGAAGCCAAAACTTGGTAACCTAATACTATGTGGATTTCAATTTGTTGGAACATGAATATGTATATGTATATCTTGGCAAAGGATAAGTGCATTGACAGGCATCAATAAGAATTGCCTTCAGTGGAGCTTAAAGGTATTTATTACGTAGATGAAAAAGGTTTATTAATAAAAGGTTGAAATGTTCAATATTATTTGTTGGCTGTTTGATTTTCTTCAACTATTGTTTAATAGAGATGAAGATGATCTGGTTAGAAAGCTGAACTTTAACTGAAAGGGGTAATCAATCTTTGCAACAGAAATGGAGTCGTTTACAACTGGTGTAGGAAGCAAATCAAAGCCATGCATGAAGTTTTACAGGTTTCAATCTTAATCCATAAAACAGATGTCGCTAATTTGATCTATTTGTTATTGAAGCTCATGCATATCTACAAAAATTCAGACATGGCTCACCATAAAATTTTCAATTTTCGTCTGGGAAATTTAAGGGCTGCAAGCACTCTTTATTTGTGCTTTTTTGTTATGTTTCCTAAAGTTTATGGTCGGTTTGATGCGTGTCTTTATGGCATAATGAGTGTGCATCAGGTTTCATGTGAGTGGTAGGCACTTGCAGTTTACATGTCTACAGTTTACCGGACATATTCACTGATAAGCAGGGGTCAAGGTTGTTGTTAGATAGTTTTAGGTGCCAAATTGCCTGGAAGATAATTTTCTGGACCTTCTTTTACCACTCCTTTGTACTCGTTTTCCATCCAGACGACCAGACCACCTCTGGTCTTGAACAATGGGATTAGTTTGTCTGTGGTCACATGTTGCACGTTCATCATAACATATACACTTTTTTCCTGAAGAATCAGTTGTGCCTGCTGGCTATGTTGGTGAAGTCATACTTCAATCAAATCTCTATTTAGCTGTTATGATTAGTCTCAGAGTTACATCACATTTTAACCTTTTTCTGTTATTTGTTTCTTTGTCTTCTACAATTCAGCACTTCCGGTTGCCAGTTTGGTGAGGCTTGCCATTTCTTGCACTATGTTCCTGGATACAGTGCACATTCCCAGTTAGCAAACATGGGCAAGAATCCTAATGTGCCAGGTGGGAAAAGTGTGCCCTTCAGTGATGGTGGTCCCTCACCACCAGTCAAGAGCAAGCTCTGCACTAAGTTTGACACTCCGGAAGGATGCCGGTTTGGTGATAAATGCCACTTTGCCCATGGGAATGCGGAGCTTGTCAGATCTATGGCCCCTGTGTACGGGGAGCCACGATCAATGGGACCAATGAGTAGATTGGCTGGACGTGTTGAACCATCCCCGAAAAGCATGGCGGATGCTACAGGATTTGGTACGTCGGCAACAGCAAAGATCAGCATTGATGCCTCTCTTGCTGGTGCTGTGATAGGGAAGAATGGGGTGAACTCAAAGCACATTTGTCGAGTTACAGGTGTGAAGCTTTCTATGAAGGAGCATGAATCTGATCCCAATCAGAGGAATATTGAACTTGAAGGTAGCTTTGATCGAATTAAACAGGCTAGTGACATGGTAAGAGAGATTATTGCAAACATTAAGGGCGGATTTGGGCGTGGGAGTGACTCATCTGCTTCCTTTGGTCGTGCTGTTCCTTCTAGGCAGTTCAAAACCAAAATGTGTGAAAGATTTCCGACCGGTTCTTGCACATTTGGGGATAGGTGCCATTTTGCTCATAGTGCTGCCGAGCTACAAAAGCTTTAAACTTAAAGCAAGCAAATCTTTTTTTGGTGCCAAACTTGTGGAATTGCTTTAATAGGGAAATTCTTGGAGTAAAAAGGAGATGGAAGGTTTTTATTGTATTAGTACAACAGGCATTTAAATGTTCGGTTATTGCCTTTCATTGGTCAAGACTGAAAATATTCATTACTTGCAGCACCCTTTCCATTTTCAATTCCAATTTTGTTTTTTCTGTGAAGTCATCTCTTCTTCCCGCCCTCATCATGAAAAGTGAAAAGTAGCCATTGGTACACGGTCGTTGCATCAAACAATTTCTCCAGCCAAGACACCACAAAAAATCTGTAACTACCTATCATAATCTCTATTCACGATCACGTTTGTAAAGAATGCATAAAACACAATCTTAGTAATAAGTGTCCTCTAATATATGCAGAAAAAGGCCCTTTTGAACAAAATACAATCTCGATAAATTTAAGTCAAGTGTAATGGCACCCAACCATGGTTCCTCTTCTTGGATTAGCAGCACTTTTCGGCTTCCTCTGGTTTCTGCCAAACCCAGACATGGAGATAACCATGCTCACAAATAGTTGTGTGAACCTTGCGTATAAGTGAAAACTCTGCTCAGAGCAATAATCAGTTTTGAACTGCGTTGTTTTAATGAATTGGCTCCACATTGGCCTTCTTCAATTAGTAAGTCTCTTCCACTCTCCAGAAGTTGTCCTCTCAAAAACTCGTGGCTGCGTCAAAGGGAAGGTTTCTTTCCAATCTGGGTGTTGAATCATATATGCCAATTTTCTGAACCAAAAAATTCAATATCAATTAGGAAAGCTATAATGGCTTCAACAACGTAAAGAAGACTGTTCTCCCCTTATGTTTATATCATAGATTTCTCCCCTTTAAATCCCAACCACCTATCATTATATGGATTGTAGTTTCACACAGACAGAAGACACTAACAATAACAAGTGCCTTCGTGAACCACGCCACAGTCCAAGTTATACCCGACTAACATTTGTGTCAATAGTTTTAGATCCTCATAACCAGCATTCATTACAAATGATGTAATATCTTAAAACCCAGGGCTTATTTCACATTTTTGTTGTGTGCAATGCTGTTAGTGTATTCCACCATTCAGACGCATCAGATTTTGAGATTGTAAACTGAGAAGTAAACTACAGGAGAAGACTGTGCCTTTGCCTTTATATTGTCTACCCGTTTCCATGCCCAAATCGATATTACTTTTAAGAAACTTCAAAGTGATGCACAACTAAAAAGTGATGGACAATTCAGCAAACTGGACTTTATAAAGAGGAATATACATTACGTACACACAGATGTTGATCCTATGTTGATTCAGTGTCTTAAGCTACAAAAGTACAAAATCTCATGTCATCTTGCATCTTCGCTCATAAAAGAATTTCAAGCTATTTATCCAGCGCAGTAGCAACATACATACTCCAGGGCCAGCCTCATAGGACCCTCCAACTTTGAGTTCCTAATTATGGCAATTATTTGTGGATATATCTTAGAGTCATATTACAATTTTTCTTCAGCTTTTCATTTCCCTCGACCACACAGATAATCAGATTATGATTACTGAGCATAAAGACATCCTGGCAGAATTGTTCTCTTAATGTACTTCAAAATTGTTTTCTGCAAAGTCCTAGGAAACACGCCCGCACCTGATTGAAAACAAATTATATCTTATTTGACTAGACCAAAAAGTTTGTGTTTTTTAACCGGCAGAAGTTATTTAATTAAAGGGTTTCTAATCAATTAGATGGCCATCATTAAGTGATCAGAATCCTGTATTGGTTCACATGTTCAGCGAGTACCAAGCAGGCTATGGAACAGAACATAATGCGAAAAAGAAAGGTGCAAACATCTTATGGAGGCAATAAATGCATAAAAGGTGCAAACATCTTATGAAGGTAATGAAAGCATCAAAATTTTTCAAGTTATGAAAATCATAATATGGTCAATCTTGTCAAGGACTTAAAGGGAATTAGAAAGAGCAAAATTTTTGAATCATAATCAGCCGATCGACCTACTACTAGTTTTGTGAACATAATGCACAAGAGAAGCAAAGAGCAGGTGATAGTTTTCATTAAAATCTATTGTTGATCAACCAAAGAATAAGAATAGGGTGATTATTTCCAACAGCTTTACACTTGTTCTGGTTTTACAGGGTAAAATGATAAATAAATCAAAGGCTACATGTTAAATTTCAACTATAAAAAGGAACAGAAACATCAAACTTTAGAGAATGTAACGAAACCAAGTAATATGCACATACCTTCTTTCATTTTCGACAAAGTCGGGAGCCTCAGCAGAAGGAGAAGTGGAACATGTGAGGAGAAGTTCATCATCAGATAGGCTTTGCAGCATTATGGCGATGTGTAACTGGCGTTTTGTCCTATTCATAATCAAAATCATTAAATATATCAACAAGTTGCAAACTATATCATTCAATCGGTGCAGCACAGCATGACATCAACAAGTTGCAAAATATATCATTAAAACCATGACATCAACAAGTTGCAAAATATATCATTCAATCGGTGGAGCACAGCATCAAAATCAAGAGTATGAATGATTAATCAGTTAACTGAAGGAGAAGAAAGAACTCATTACCATTTACACGGAGCTATAACAAATCGATCAGTTTTAGTGTCATAAGTCTCCAGTAACCTGCCATTCCAGTTGGGATCCTCATATGCTGCAGTCACACGGTTCATCCGCACGAGTTCATCAGGGCATCTAGAAGTACCATCAAAACTGGCCGGAGTAACTGATCCAGTTGAGGGATTTACCTAGAAATTGGAGTATGAAAACATGAGGACACACTACCGGAATCACTCAATTAGACATTTATATATTCCTAATTCAAAAAATTATGTACATTGCAGAAAAAAAACGTGCTGAAGGGATAAATGAAATCTCTGTCTCAACAGATTCGAGAGTGAGCTCCCACAATTCCCCAGTTTCAGTCATCCGACGAAGAAACTTCAGCAATTTTGAACATTTTCTTAAAGCTCATTGTCATAAAAAGGTAAAACCCAAACCCCAAATATCAGAAATATTTGAAAAGTCCATCTAAATCTGAACGATAAATGCAGTTTCTGATTTTGAATTTCTAGAAGAAAAAATCAAATAAACCAAATGCACACCCTAAATGTAGAGGTTTCCAGTAATGATTTCTAAACTCCCAGACCAAAGAAGCAGGTTTTCCTTCTAACACCATGAACACATGAAAACCGCCAAACAGAATAGCGTTTTGCCCAATTTCAACGAGAAAGAAGAAGAAAATCTAATTTGGGCCTTCTTTTTAGTAGTTTCTTTCAGTGAAAAGTCGAATTTTGATGACTAACATATAAACTTAAGAGCTCACCAGGAAGCCTGTGAATATAGGATATGCACCTCCCTCAGAATCTTTCCAGGTATTGTTCTCAAGAACATGGAGAGTTTGTAGGTGAAACTTTTTACTACTCTTCTCCAGGACCTCAACTATCTTAGCACACAAAGGAAAGGAATAACCCTTGTTCTTTATACGACTGGTCACGGTATTTTCCATATGCTGCGTAAAAGTCCAACAGATCTGAGCTTAAATATTCTGCTTCTGAAGGAAAAATTATATCTCTGGAGAAAAGGAAAAAGAAAAAAGAAGAGGATTGTGGCCCAGACTTGTGGAGAGGAATCATCAAAACCACCAATCAGATGCACCTGCATTATGTGAGCTTTGGAGTAATTGCCACCATAAGAATCATAAGTTTACAAATTATGACTAATGCAATAAATTTGAAGTCGTAAAGAGGAAAATACATCAAGAATATCATCAGAGTTTGGATCAACGACTGATGTTAACATCTGGGAAAGGCCAACATCAACTATGCTTGGCGAATCCAAATGAGCAATAGAGGTCCTGCAATCAAGGAAATCACGACGTAGTTAGACACTATATGTACAAAGCTTAGAAGCTCCAAGTCCAAATAAGTTTTACTCACATTCCACTTTTGCAGTTTCGGATGATCATACCCACACAAGTTGTCGTCTCATCAGTGCCAGCTAACTAAGCAAATTACCAAAACAGTTGAAAAATTAGTATAATGGGCAGATAAGTAATAAAGCAGATCTCAACTACATAATACTTCAGAACCAATCACAGAGAAGAAAAAGTAAATGCAACCAGGTTAAACTATCAAATCGTTCCAAGATCATTAGAGAAAACCATTTGAAAAGCAAATAACTTAGAAAACATGGACATGAAAGACATGTCCAAAACTAACAGCAAGAAAAGTGGGGCAATAGAAGACAAACAACAACAACAACAACAACATACCCAGTATATTCCCAACTAGGTTGGGGTCTGGGGGGTCAAGATGTACGCAGCCTTACCCCTGTATTTCAATACAAAGAGGCTGTTTAAGTAGTACGACCCAAGATGCATTGGTGCATTGATATATTGATTTCCGGCAACTTCACCAAATTAAGAAGCGTCAGAATTTAAATGAGCCATTTTGATCAAATTAATTATTAGCACAAAACTAAAAGAATTGTCAATAATGACACTTCCAGCTCCATTTGCAATGGATAAGCAATAGAAGACAAAACTAAAAGAAAATTAAATTGCCAAAACATGAAGCTGAAGGCTGTAACGCGAACTGGCATCTCTTTCAAGGAGATGTGCTGTAGGTAACGTACCTTCATGTTTCTAATTCCCCAGTCAAGGAAAACTGTATTTTACAGTACATGCCAATCGAAATAAATAAGAAACAGCTGTACCTAAGCAACATTCCTTTACTTGTAAAACGAAATTACTAGGAAAGAATTAAACTAGAGTCTAAAACTTCAAAGAAACACGTCCAAGATTTAGGCTGCTACACTGGAAATATGACCCCTTGCCTAAAACTATTTGACATCTCTTTCACTGCACGAAAAACCACAAGCCAAAACTATAAACATACCAATCTACATGTAGTTAATTACACCCCCTGGAAAAAATAATCAAACAAACGGGAAGAACAATATCCAATTTATAAAAAGGTGAAATGATAATTTACAAAGATAAGAGGTGCTCCGGAAGTGAAATACATAGTTTCAATAACTTACGTATGTAAGATTGTTTGGCTTCCTAATTACACATAAATTTAATCAAAAGAGCGACATCAAAGTATAAAGGCAATGAATAGTTCAGTGTGCGGTAAGATGGTAGTCAAAACATTCTTTTACTTTAGTAGCAGTTTCCAATTCCATGACCAGAAGCACAAAAAACTTTCAATCCAAATATACCTCGCGACAAGAAAGGATTCTTTGGATGTGCTGTTTGTGGGGGATAGCATAAGGTGAATGCAGAACAATCAGGTCAAATAAAAAAAACAAATATGAACTTACATCCACAAGACTCGGATCGACTGTTGCATATTCCCTTTGGAACACATAGACCCATTTACACGCTGCCACTCTCTCGCCAGTGGCACCTTCTGAAGCTGAGAACTTCCTCTCAGGGATGGAGTTAAAGGTACATGAGGCTGCTGACAAAATAGGGTGATCCATCAAGGCAATCAAAATCTTGCTACCCTGTTTATCACCAAAGTACTAAAATGGGAAACCGACTTTAGGACAAACTACAAAAGCTGTCACTCAAGGAAAAAAAAAAGGAATAATAATACTGCTGCAACAAACAAAGATAAGAACCTAGTTTTGGATATACTTATTCTTTCCCCAATAACAATTCACTATCTTTTGTGCCTTTTGTTAAACCATTACAAGGAAAATAAAAACAATGACATCCCTTAGAGTAACTAATCTAAAAACTTAATCAGCACACTGCACTGAGGATCTTACCCCCAGAAAAGGGTGCATTGCAACAAAACTGAGTCAGATAACAAAACAAACCTAAGAAAACCAATTATCCATCTAAATTCAACCCAAAAGTGATAAGTGCTTCAACCAGAACTAATCAAATATATCCCAAAACTATGAAGTAGGCATAATTGGGGTCCTGAGTAAAAATCATCCATCTCCCCACAAAATTAAAGGGTTTTTTTTAATTTTAAAAAAATATATATATATACATGCATCCCAAGTGCCTGATCATAAAGATTGATTGCGTGATTTCGAGAGTCTGCAACTTTTCCAAAGGACACAAAATGGGAATCGTAAAGGGAGGATACCTCAGAGGAAGAAGATGGCTCCTCCGCCTGAAAGGGAACTCCTCCTACAAAAATCATCAGGCGATGGTGCAGCAATGATTTTCAACAAATCAGATTTACAGTAGAAAGATTTTCTTTATGGATTCTCCTTGTGTAACACTTTTTAGTTCAGTCTTCAGAAAGTCTAGCTTTGAAAAAGAAATACAAATCAATGTTCCACTTTTTTTTATTAGGGCGGACTACATATGGATCTTTTCCCTAAAAAAAAAATTAATTAAAATAAAAGTGGACAAATTTAAATTTTTCAGAATATTTATGAACAGGAATATATCCCACGGATTTCTGAAATTCGAGTTATAATTAAAATTAAACATTCGAATTTCGGAAATCCGAATCTACATTTAATAATAAAATAATAATTAAATAAATTTTATTGAATAATAGTTTTTAAAAAATCTTACATGAACAGTGTCGTTCGGATTTGTGTAATCCGAGTCCCATTAAAAAATAATAAATTGAGGCGCGAAATATTTGAACTCAAATAAGGAGGAGTCCAGGACCTGGACTCCTTAAATAAACAGTAGTACTCGGATTTCCGAAATTCGAGTTCTCAAAAAGAAAAAAAAATAAAATAAAATCAAGGCGCGAAATTGTTGAAATCAAAGAACTGGAATATCGTAATCCGGTTACATGTATTAGTGTTATGTACTATTTGTACGTAGTAGTATTATGTAGTACATTTATATTATTACTCATTATACATTATTGATACTATTGTTATTTATTATTGTTAAATCTGTTAGTCATTATATATTATCATTAATTCAGTATAATTTATCTGTACTAGTGTAATGTACTATTTGTACGTACTAGTATTATGTAGTACATTAATACTAATACCCATTATACATTATTGGTACTATTGTTATTTATACTGTTAAATCTGTTAGTCATTGTATATTATCACAAAAACAGTATAATTTATCTGTACTAGTGTTATGTACTATTTGTACGTACTAGTATTATGTAGTACAGTAATACTAATACTCATTATACATTATTGGTACTAGTGTTACTTATTACTGTTAAATCTATTAGTTATTAGATATTATCATAAATTCAGTATAATTCATCTGTATTAGTGTTATGTACTATTTGTACGTACTAGTATTATGTTTGAATGGTGTTTTAAGAGGTAAAATGAGCCAAATTGCAAATGGAACCCTTGGCCAAACAAGCCCTTAGTTATTAGATATCCATTGTACTTAATTAAAGCAACATACAACAAGGACACGTGTCAGCTTCACATTAAAAATTTTTCCGCCGAAGCTACTTTTCAGTACAAAATGAAAAATGCCACGTGGCTCATCAGATGAGCAGAAAAATGATGTTTGATGAAATTTTTTCAGGGATTTATTTAAGAAACTAAAAGAAAAAAAAAACTACCAAAGTTATATCCCTAAAATTTTGAAAATCTACCAAAGTTATATCCCTAAAATTTTGGCCGTCCGAATCAATCTCATAATTACAGTATATGTATCCGAATCAATCTCATAATTACAGTATATGTATATGAATAAATGTAAGTAAGGTTGGTAATAAACAGTAAATAAAAAGATGATTAGTAAAAATTCTGTTTATTACAATACAAAAACGCAACTGTAAAATTTGCAGAGTTGCTGTAACCCAATTATATCATGCATCCAGATATGTGTCATTAGCAAATTTTACTGCATCGTCATCCATTTGATTCCCTGAAATCTGCCTTAATCGTCTCTTTTCCATACATTGTTGCTGCAAATATATAGTAAAGATCAGATAATCTTCCCAAATAACAGTTTTGAATTTTATAAATTACATATTCAAATTAAATTAAATAACAATTCATAACAAGTCCATATCCTTACCATCAATGATTGATTGATTGATTGATCCATGTTTATCTCCTTAAAAATCAAAATCTTACCTTCAGAAACAGTCATTCAGTTAACATCAGAATCAAAGAGATATGCTTACCTACAGATTTTCATGGAATTGAATATCACATGCTCTGTATATATATAATTTGATATAGATATGTCATACTCACCAAAACCTGCGACCATTTATTCTAAAGCTCTATTGTTGTTTCTGTTTCCTATTCAACAGAAACCCCTACTGTTTCTGCAACTCCCATGTCTTCATCAGAAGCCCCCGCTGTTTCTGCAACTCCCATGGCTTCATCAGAAACCCCCACTGTTTTTGCAACGCCAATGGCTTCATCAGAAATTCCTGAAGTTGATTCTCACAATCAAAACTATCCTGAAAATCCTATTTCTGGATCTGCAACCCACAATTTTGCCAATTCAGTGGAAACACATACACCTGTTCTTGATTCTGAAAAACAACACCATGCTGAAAAACCACTTGCTGGAAATCAAACACCTCCTAATGTTGATCAGACATTTCCAACAGGATCTGCACAAAGGTACATTGCTGACATCAATGGCTTGGTACCAACCAAAACTATCCATTTCCACATAGTTGTTCGTGTTATGACCATCTGGAAAATGATAGAGAATAAAAACAAGAATGTCAAATCTGTTGAGTTGGCATTGATTGATGCTCAGGTATTATATTATTTAATACAGTTTTCAACATTAAACAATGTTTTACTCATGAAAAAGATGCAATTCTTATATGCTTATTTGTCCAAACTTTTTGAAATATAGGGATCCCAAGATTCAGGCTACTATACCTGCGAGGATAATGAAAGATTTCCAGAAGTATTTCCTTCAAGAGGGCTGTGCCAGGAAGATATCACGTTTTGATCATTGCCTGAATATAAGTGGGGGATATCGGTGCTCAAAACACGAATACAAAATTGTATTCCGACCTGATACAATTGTTCAATCTGTTGGTTACCATGACATCCCTAATCATGTATTTGAATTTACCCCTTTTGCAGAAATTACCAATTTTGTTGCAAATTTTGACTTCTGTTTTGGTAAGGACAACATCTTTCAGCATTTAGTATAATATTTTCCTTATGTATCTATTAAGCAAACATGCAAGTATGAATAATATGCATACATATATCTCAGATTTGTTGGGACACATAATTGGTTACAGTGATCCAATTATTGATAATGGTAAGAAGAGGATTTCGGTCGAATTGGAAGATGAAAGGTAAGTGATTTTACCAATGTATATAATTTGAATACGTATGTATGTAAAAATATTCTTATTCAATTCAGTATGCATAAGTGATTTTAACTATATTTACATTAATCGTAGGGCCGATAGGTTAAAGGTCACATTATGGGATGAGCACGCAGACAAGGTGTATACCATGATGACTAATAATCCTGATTACCCTGTTGTCCTTATTGTTCAATATGTCAAATGCAAAAAATACTACTGTAAGTATATTTCGTTTTAAAGCATATCTCTGTTTGTTGACAACAAATTTCAGCAGTTTTAGTGACACATCTATACTCTAATCTGATCCAGCTAAAGTTTCAATCACAACAAATCTGTTCAATGGTAGGATTTTCCTAAATGACATGACCATTCCAGATATATACGAATACAAATTCAGGTAAAAGAAAATTATTGTCACAGTTTATACAAATACTTAAATGAAACCATCCATGCAGTGTCAAGTAATGAACTCACATTCACAGGGTTGATCAGGCAGATATTAGATCTGCAAGCATCCATAAGATATCCATGCTATCTTCCATTTCGGATACACAAATTTCGATGAATTTGTGCGTGATGCTGAGATGTTGACACTGGCTGGAATTGATGATTTGGAACAGGTAACAAGTTAATATATACTTTCAAGCCATACAAAGTAAGGTTACTGCTATATAATATGTATTCATTTCTTACCCTGTATTGTCATATTTTACAGCCATCAGGTGTTGTTGTTTTTGCAAAGATATCTGGATTGGCAAAAGAGTATGACTGGTCATACATAGGCTGTAGCAACTGTAACAGTAAGGTTGTTGAGATTGAATCATCTGCAAAGGAAAACCTCACTGGTGGTAAACAACGGTCGGCCTTTGGCAAAGGTAGAAAAGTAGATAATGAAAAGCCAGTTGGACTAGCAAAGAGATGGATGTGCAAAAACCATGGACCTGTTTCTGCCGTCGCTGCAAAGTAAAACAACTATAGTCACGTTATATAGTTTATAATGTTTTTCATATTAAAGTCTACTTTATTCTCTATGTTTATTGTACTTTGTACAATCTGTAACTGCTGCACAAATTTCAGATTCAAGTTGCAAGTGTATTTAGTTGATGGTTCAGGCAGCAGAATTGGTACTCTATGGGACAGAATGGTGTATAACTTCATAAACAAGACCGCTTCTGTACTACGTGAAGAGGTACAAATTATATACCATTACAGGGATAATTGTTTCTATACAACTGTAATTGTTGCATACCTTTCAAGTTATTGATTATTATCTTCTACTAATTTTCTAATGCTATAACAGTATCCCAAAGGTTACCCTGACATTCTAGATGAAATTGTGGGGAAAAAGTGTCTGTTCAGGCTAGATGTCTCAGACTATAACATTAGAAACAACACCAGTGAGATATCAGTTGCAAGGGTTACAACAGATGCAGACGTTATAAGGAAGTACCTTGATGCTGTTTCAGATGATCAGGTTTTAACTATAACATATATTTCTGTAACAATGTAATAACTGTTGATATTGTTTACAAGTCAAATTATTTCATACATTTTGCAGGAAATAGATCCTGAGCTAAGTGCCGAATTCTGCCATAATTTAACCCCATTATCTGAGAGCACTGCTAAGGTATTTGATAGCAACAGCTTATGTAATGTACAAATAAAACATACATATTACTGTAAGTTAACAAGTTTGTTGACTGACTATTCCTTATATTTACAGACAGCAGTTTCTTGCACTGACGATAATGATATGGGAGCTCCTGGAGATGAAACGGGTGACAGTCCTCCACCAAAGAAGCATGCATCTGCACAATCTGGCGAAGAAAGTGTCAAGTCCCAGCCCAACAAGCGTGTCAGAAAGCTTTAATCCGAATGAACAATTACAAAGAATTTTATTGTCTTAAAAAAGGATTCATGTTGCAGACTATTTATTTCCCTTCACCGAATTTAGTTTTCGTTTGGAACTTTATCATTTAATCCGTCTTTCTCCTTTGAGATCAGTACATCCGTTAGATTTTATCATGGTTGTTTCAAACTTATTTGTTTAAGTTTCATAATAGTATGCCGTATGATATTGGAATTTCCATTTTATCCACTTTATATTTCTTATAATTTTTATGTTCCTTCTAACAATAGATCATTGCCTGCATATTTGCTTTTACTTCCTAATAAAAAGTGCAGGTTTCTGAAGTTGATGGATCATGCTGCAGTACTGGTAAAATTAGAGTATACATGCACTGGTAAGGAACATTGTATGTATTTATATTATGTACATATAAATACATGGTTTACTTGAAAGTGGAAAAATTTGATGACTTACTATGCTTTATATTTGCAGATTCCACTTTTGTGCTCTGCCTGTTCGTATAATGGACTTCCTGGAGATGAAACAGATCACATGCTCCACTGAACAGTTTATCATTTCCTAAATATAATGAATAAGTGCCAGTTTCAACTCCAACAAGCGTGTCATGTTGCACGCTACAAGTTTTTGTATCTTTGTATTAAAAGAAGGATATATTCATTAAGAGCAGATTCATTGTCACTACTGTTTAGTTTGCAGCTTACTTTTTCAGCCATTTCGGTTGTTTTTCCTGTAATAAGTACACCTTTTAGGTAACAGAGGTTTGTTTTAAAAAGTATACAATCATGTTTTCAATGTTATTAAATCATATATGTCGATTTCAGAATATGAATTATTTGTAGTAAATTATTGGTTGTGTTCACTTTACACTTACCTGACAAAAACTAAATACAATTATATGTATACAAGTTATATTTCCAATATAAATTATTTAAAAACTAATGTACAGTTTAATATCAAATATATATTTAGATAAACAGAAAACATAAAGGCATTACATTAAAATATGATTCTCAGAATATTGATAAAATATTAGTTAAATTTAAACTGAATAGTTGTCATTGTCAAAGACTGAAATACCAGTTTGATTTGGAATAGAATTCCTCCAAACTGACACATCTGTTCCTAATTTTAAGGTGCCTTAAATAGCTGTACAACATATCCAGACTATTTATATTCACACATAACGTATCTAGATCGTTACAAAGTTCTTTCTCCTTCTTTTCACAGTGTTTTTCATTCTAAGAACAGGCAGAATACAAGTTGCCATGGATTTTGGGTACGATCAACTTATTACTGTCCCAACAGACATATGGAAAAAGGGTTTGGTAAGTACATAACATATATTCTGCCTGTTTAATATATAATATCACATCCTGTTTCTAAGTTTTTTGATTTTACCAGATACTTAGCAGTAACCTTACTGCAAATATGAAGCATGTCGGTCAGCAAATAATGGTTGAATTCCAGGGAAGAAAAACTGTCTTTGCAAATTTACATATTACGAAAAAAAGAAGATGTCAGTTGTGGGGGAATGCTCTAGAAGAATTATTTACATCCATTGGTGTATCTCCTCACACAAAAATTCACGTTGTTTACCATCAACAAAGAAAAGTTCTTCAGTTATTTTATTTTTTATTTGATGGAACACAGCGGCTCAGATCTGATCCAACTGCAAATATTGGCAGTCGTTACCTCTTGGAATTGAATCCAAACGTTGCCAATCGATGTGTAAGTTTTTTAAACCAGAATTTCATATATGGTACTTGGCTTTTAATCTGTTAATATATGGAATAACTTTATCATCTGTTTTATCTTCCTCCTTACCTTAGGTTATTAACACACAGTACTTTAGAGCCATAAATTGGCCTTCAGAACAAAAACTTTCATTGGTAATTGATGATAATCAGAAGCAGTGGAAGTTTCAGATATATACCCAAGAACATGCTCTAGTAGGTTTTGAAGGCCTTATGTGGGAAGAATTCCATGATTTTTATTTTAACCACTATGAATGTGTAAATGTTATATTGATTTACACTAGAAACCAATACTTTAGAGTCAGGGTATTTAACAAAGAAGGGTACTGTATCAGCAATCATCAAAACACAGTCGGTTCAGACACATCTGAAGGTTTGTATAAGTTTACGTCAGCTGTTTACTACTGTGTATTTTATTATATATAAATTCATATATATTCCTATGTGTTTATATAAAACTCATAACAAGTGTAGTATTTTCTTCACAGGTGAGGTTGACATAATTAACTACATAAGGTCTAACAGTGATCAGAATACTTTCAACGTGGTTATGACCAATGATGTAATTAACAAAGGCCGACTGGTAAAAATTTGTGATCTGTTTTAATATTACATCTTACTTATAATATGTAACAAAAGTTTTTAAATTGAATTGTGTTTTTCATCAAGTTTAAATGTACTGACTCAATTATTTGCCACAGGAGATACCATGGCACATTGTCAGAAGATTGGACATTCAAGACTATCAATTGTTGATCCTATACTACGATGGAGAACCTATAATGAGTATGGTTCGTGCCAGTTCTGGAGATTTTCCATATAGATTCATTGTTCAAGGAGACCTCCAATATATGATGACTTTGAAAAGGATCCCAACTGGTATAAAACTCGGATTTCGTATAAACGCGCAGAAGGCAGCCAACAAGGATTCATTGATATTGGAAGTGCTGTAATCAAGTTTAAGTGTAGTTTTTTTTTTTTCATTTTCGGAGAATAAGTTAATTTTTTTTAATAAATTTCAGTACAATGATTTTCATAATTTAGTTTATTTTGTTTTTTGACATTTATTTGGTGGTTACACATATATTTTTATGTCAACAATGTCATCAATCTATTTCCTGCAATCTTTCATGTACATATTAATAATATATTTCACTTTACAATTTTATTCACATATATATGACTTAATAATCTTATATTTTGGAAAATATTTTACTTTATTTAATATCATAAATTCTGTATTCCTGTAAAGATATAATTACCATATGTAAAATATATTTTCAATGAAGCTTTTATTCATATCCATAGTACATAATTATTTTATAGTTTGGAAATTTATTCTTTTATTTAATACCATGGATTGTATAATTCTGTAAATTTGTTAAGCACTATTATTAAAACTCCAGTCCTTTGTCAATTATTATTATAATATCCTGTATTAACTTCATTATAATTGATACTTATCAAAATGTTGTGATCTTTATCATTTACATATATAAGATAAGTTACTCAACCAATATCAATCATCAATATCAAACATATTATTCCGGATAGAACTTCAGTAAAATATTAGGGGGTGTTTTCATAGTTATTCATTGGAGATTCTATACTCCATTGGTTATTTAAGAAGAAGGAAAAATTATATGAACGACAATGAAGATTTCTGATACAAAGGCTGCAAGGTTATTCAGAAAGCAGACATTAGACAAGAAAAGGAATAGAGTTCTTCGACCTATAAGATATGTTAAAAGTAAAGTTCCTATAAGATTACCACGCCCTGATCTATTGACTGCTAAGATCTCAAGGTACCAGAGGAAGAATATGTTATATCAGAGACGTTTCAGTTTAGTTATCAATAACCACTCTCCAGTCATCTCCAACAGGGAAAGACCATTTTCTGGAAAGGGTTCTCGATTGGAGAGGAAGAAACATCTTGATAAAAAGAAGGGCAAAGTTATTCATGAAGAACAACCTGTTACCCTTGGTGGTATTGTTATAAGTCATTCCAACAATTTCACAGGAAATGTTTTCAGGAATACATTTTCACCAGAAATTAAGTCTACAGCAAGTGCTAATGAAGGTTGCAATTCCAATTCACAGTTACATAAAAATGTAACTAAAGTTAAAGGTACAGTTTATATTCCAAGTTTACCCTTTCTTTTCAAGTGTTTATTGTACTTAACAGTTACACAGACTGATTTGACATAAAAATAATACATACATCTAAAAAAGTACCTGTATTTTTATGTTTCTTCATATGAAATCACATTGTCAGAATTCGTCAGATGATTCAGCTGAGATTTTGTCTCCAGAATCATCTATAACCCATCGAAGCTCAGCCAGTCAAGTTAAACAGGGTTTGCAGCCTGGAAAGTATCAAATCAACCACATAAATTTCACTCACATAAATACAGGTAATTTTGAATCAAATCTAAATGCATATATTACTCACAGTAAGTATCACTTTTCTGACAATAACATGCCTTATTATTTGTGTTATGTAGAATATGATGATTTGGGAGATCCCACGTATGTATGTGGATATTGCGGATCGAATATGTGGTATGAAGAAAGAGTCAACAAGTACAGGAAACCTCAGCATCCTAAATTTTCTATATGTTGCAAACAAGGAAGAATACATCTTCCGTTGTTAACTGAACCACCTCCAAAGTTAAAAGCATTATTTATTTCTAAAACTGAGAAAAGTATTCAGTTCCTGGAAAATATCCGAGCATATAATAATATGTTTGATTTTACTTCTATGGGTGGTAACATAGTCAGTTCAATTAATGATGGTCGTGGCCCTTATGTGTTCAAAATGCACGGACATAATAGCCATTTGATGGGTAGTTTACTTCCAGAAGACAATGAGAAGCCAAAATTTTCTCAATTATACATACACGACACCCAGAATGAAATTAGTAACAGAATTGGAGCTCTAAGGTACTTTCAATTTATTATATGCATAGTCAATTTTATGCTGTAATTATGCCACTATCCTTAATTTTTCATCTAAATTGCATGATGATGATTATGCATTCTCATTTAATTGCAGTTCAGGGAAAAAACATACAAAAACAAAGGAACTTGACAGTCAGATTGTAGACGACATAAAGTCAACAATGGATGAATACAATGTATTGGTCAAGACATATAGGAAGGTGCGTGACACTGTTCAGACAGACGGTTCACATGAGATTAGACTTAAGCTAATTTCAACTAGAGATACTGATGCTCGAACGCATAATCTACCTTCTGTGGATGAAGTAGCAGCTATATTACCAGGCGATGAAGGGAATGAAACTGAAACCAGGGACATTATTGTTCAGTACAAGTCTGGACAACTGCAACGTATAAATGAGTTGCATCCTTCATATATTTCCCTCCAATAGCCTATACTGTTTCCTTATGGTGAGGATGGGTTCCGTGTCAATATCAAACTCGGGGATCCAGACACTGATTCTGATGAAGAAGATCAGAGCTATGATATTGATGGTGTTGATGACCAGAAAAAAGGACCACGAAAGTGGATGAGCATGAGGGAGTGGTTTGCATACCGTTTAATGGATAGAGACATGGAAGGTTCACTGATATTATTGGCACGCAGGTTATTCCAACAATTTTTAGTAGATGGTTACAGTGCAGTTGAAGCTGGAAGAATATTTTGGATTAGAAGAAATCAAAGAAATCTTCGATGCGAGACATATGAAAAGATTAGAAAGTCACTCGAAGATGGAACTAATGATGCGACATATGTTGGTCAGCGAGTTATAATACCGTCTTCATTTACAGGAGGTGAGCGATGGAAACGTGAAAATTATATAGATGCAATGACCATAGTGAAGACTTTGGTTATCCAGATATTTTTATAACCTTCACTTGCAATAACAAGTGGCCAGAAATAGTTAAATATTGCTCAAAATTAGGATTGAGGTCTGAAGATAGACCAGATATAGTTTCAAGGGTATTTATGATGAAGCTGAATAGATTGATGAAAGAGATTAAAGACAAACATATATTTGGTCATCAAGTAGCAGGTATGTACAGGTTTTAATAGTTTTTTTAAATTTCATGCATTATTTCTGGAAATAATAATTATTTAATAACACGAACATACTAATCCTATTTTATTATACAATACAGCTCTATACACGGTAGAATATCAGAAGAGAGGTCTCCCTCATGCCCACATAGTTGTTTGGTTAAATCGGGATGACAAATTATCAAAACCAGAGGATATAGACAAATTCATTAGTGCTGAACTGCCTGATAAAGATGCTGATCCCATGCTGTACAATATCGTTACTGAGCTAATGATTCATGGACCATGTGGTATGGAACATCCTTATAGTCCTTGCATGGTGAAGAATGAATGCTCAAAGAAATCTCCTAAAAAATGGAAGGACGAAACAACTATAGGTGATGATGGATTCCCTGTTTATAGAAGGCGTAATGATGGAAAATCATTTGAGAAAAATGGGGCTACTATAGATAACAGATGGGTTGTAAGTTACAATCGGTATTTGACACTAAGGTTTCATGCACATATCAATATTGAATGGTGCAATGAAGCAGGTGCTATTAAATACCTATTCAAATACTTGAACAAGGGTTCAGACAGAGTTTCTTTCAAATATACTGTCAACGGAGAAGTTATCATTGAAAGTTATGATAAAGCTCCAAAGGATGAAGTGAAAGATTGGTACGAAGGCAGATATTTATCTGGTTGTGAAGCTGCTTGGCGTATGTTTGAATTCCCAATACATCACAGGACACATCATGTTGAACGATTAAGTTTCCATATGCCTGGTCAGCAAAGTGTAATATACGATGAAGACCAGACAATTGAATCTGTTATCAAGTAGAGCTTCTAACAGAGAGTCAAAGTTCACTGCATGGATGGAATGTAACAGCATACACTCTGAAGCAAGACACCTTACGTACATAAATTTTCCATCCAAGTTTGTCTGGAAAAGAAAGGACAAAATGTGGAAGCCGAGGAAAAGAGGTGATAGCATTGGCAGGATTCATGGTGTTCCTATAGCTACTGGTGAACCTTATTATCTAAGAATGCTTCTTAATATTGTTAAAGGTCCAACATCTTATGAAGAAATAATGACAGTAGATGATATAGAATACACTTCTTTCCAAGAAGCTTGCTTTGCTAGGGGTTTACTGGAAGATGATAAGGAATACATAGATTGCATAATGGAAGCATCAACTTGGGGTTTAGCAAGTTACTGCAGACATCTTTTTGCAGAGCTTTTGGATGGAGAAATTATTTCTAAACCTGATCATGTCCTAGAGCAGACTTGGGACTGCTACACTGAAGATATACCATTTAAATTAAAGCGTTTGTACATGAATGAAGGTATATTTTATTCCGGTTTATTATTTTAAGTTTCTTTATCTGTTTAAACATTATATATCCTGAATTAATTAAATCTGATTTGTTTCTTTTCTTATTACTGTTATTACCCATAAACATTGTTACACACAGATTACGTAGTGTCCGAAGATGAGAAGAAAATGCATGCATTGAAAGAAATTGAGTTTATTCTACGGACTCATGGTAAATCCCTGAAGCAATTTCCTGGAATGCCGTATCCAGGAGATGTTTTCATTGATGATGGAACTAATACCATGATTCATGATGAATTAGACTACAATAGATCAGAATTGAGAGAAGAACATGATTTGCTATACGGAAATTTGACTGATGAGCAGAGGGAGATTTACAAACAGATTACAGGTGCAATTGAAAGAGGTAAAGGAGGTTTGTTTTTCATTTATGGTTACGGTGGGACTAGAAAGACATATGTCTATCGCACACTTTCAGCTGCCATTCGAATGGAAGGCGAAATTGTCTTAAATGTTACATCAAGTGGCATTGCTTCGTTGTTGTTGGTTGGTGGAAAGACTGCACACTCAAGATTCCAAATACCAATTGACATTACTGAAGAATCAACATGTACCATCAAACCAGGAAGTGATTTGTGTGCTTTGGTTATAAGAGCAAAACTTATTATATGGGATGAGGCACCGATGGTACATAAACATTGCTTTCAAGCACTGGACATGACACTAAAGGATATACTACGCCGTACAAATCCAGAAAGTGTAGAACAACCATTCGGAGGAAAAGTTGTTGTTCTCGAAGGTGATTTCAGGCAGATATTGCCTGTGATTCCTAAAGGTACAAGAGCTGATATTGTCAATTCTGCAATAAACTCTTCGTACTTGTGGAGATATTGTAAGGTACTAAGGTTGACTGTTAACATGAGGCTACGTGTTGATTATACAACAAATAATCATGATGAAATACGTGAGTTTGCTGACTGGCTGCTAAAAATCAGAGAAGGAAAGGTAAATGAACCAAATGATGGTGAAGCTGAGATTGAATTCGCAGATGATGTCATTATACAGGAACCAGGAGATCCTATCAAAATTATTGTTAAGACTATATATCCAAACTTATTAAAAAATCTTGAAAACCCTATCTGGTTCCAGGAAAGAGCTATTTTAGGACCAACACATGAAGTTATTGATAAGGTCAACGATTACATGACAGGTTTATTACCTGGCGAAGAACGTGAATACCTCAGTTCAGACACTATGTGTAATTCTGAGCATAGAGGTGAATCAGATCAGGGTATATACACTCCCGAATTCCTCAACAGTGTAAAGGCTTCAGGTCTTCCCAATCACAGATTGGTATTGAAACGTAATGTTCCAATCATTCTACTTCGTAACATTGATCAAAGGTTAGGAATGTGCAATGGTACTAGACTACAGGTTACACGTATGGGACGTTACGTGATAGAGGGGAGAATTATATCAGGAAGCAATATAGGTCATGTTGTGCCTATTCCCAGGATGAAAATAATTCCATCTGACAGGAACATTCCTTTCAAAATGAAGAGGAGGCAGTTTCCCATAGCAATATGTTTTGCTATGACCATTAACAAAAGTCAAGGTCAGTCTCTTTCTACAGTTGGACTTTACCTACCACGACCAGTTTTCAGCCACGGCCAGTTATACGTGGCTCTGTCAAGGGTAACTTCTAAACAAGGATTGAAAGTGCTGATTTGTGACAGTGAAGGTACAAGATCAAATAAAACTATGAATGTCGTCTACAAGGAAGCTCTTCGTAACGTTAGGTGAAATTAGTTGTTTTAAATTTCTGTTTTATAACTGTACAATGTTACAGTTCCTTTTTTTTTTTTTTCTGTGCTTGCTATCAAACCAATTAAACTGTTTTTACACTAAAATCTGCATCTCTATTCAAAATGAACATACTTTATTGGTACAAGAGGTTTCAAATACAGCCAGTTCTTTATGTTTTGTGGAGGATAAGAAAGAAGGAATTGCAGTACTTAACTGCAATGGGTTTTGACAGTGAAAAACCCAAAGTATAACTCGACCACGAGTTTTCTTTCAATAAAGGGAGTTTATGCAGGAAGATCCCAGCAATATGGGTAAATTCATATTAGCTTTAAGGAAATGATTACATTTGAAAGCTATTTCTCATTCTAAAGTCATTATCATTTTTCAAAAAAACAATTTTTAACTATACACATGATAACAAATTATTATGCACACTATACAAACAAATACATATAAATATTCAATTAACTGTTAAAAACAAAAAATAATATCAGTTGAATTAGAAAAACATATGTGCTTTAACACAGTACATGTTAATTGAATAATATCAGAACAAAAATTTAAACAAGTTTATAATTACCTCATCCAAAAACATATTGCCCAAATATCATCTTGCATGTTAAACTGCAGCTTTATTACTGAACATTGTCTGAGTATTTCATCGAATATATTCTGCACACACCATTCACATGTTCAAACATATATTTGTAATGAAATAAATAATTGAAATACATTACTGTCAATGAAATTAAATAGCATACTATTTGAAAATATCAATAATATTACCTCCGTAGAATAATCGAAGTTATTCTTTTTCCGCACAGATTGAAATGGGATTTCCAACCTAGAATCTTTCATGAATACAGTTCATAATCTTTGATTGAACACTGCTATATATGACGAACCGATTTATATCCCACCATAGAAGATGCACGGCAACAGATGTTTTTGCATCTGTAATCAAGAACATCTTTAAATGCGAACCCATCAATAGCTTTCAATCCCTTCGATGATGCTTATTATTCAATCGATCTCATTCTTCTCTGACCGAAATGAATGTTTCGATTTCCTCGAAAACATATGAATATAGATGAACAGCTGAAGAAATACAATCTTCCCGTAACAATGAACATATAGAAAGAATTGGAAAGCCTTTACATTGATTAGATCTGATGGGAAGAATGAACAGTCTGAAAAGGAAATGTACACTCCAGATCTGTTCGATATGAACAAGAATGGAATTATGCATTCTCAGATTTTTTTCTTTTCTTTATATTTAAACAGAACACCATTTTACGGAAGTGATCCCCGGACTTTTCCATATTTATTTGACACCCACAACATTCTATTATTGACAATTATTCCATATAATTTTCATTTACTTCTTTTTAACCCACATCTATATATTATCGTTATTTTTATTACTGTCATTATTATTATAATTATAAATTATTAACAATATTATTTATAAGAGATCGGCCGGGCATCCGCCCGGGCTAAGAATCTAGTTATTATTAATTCAGTATAATTCATTTGTACTAGTGTTATGTACTATTTGTACGTACTAATATTATTTTATGTAGTACATTAATATTAATACTAATTATATATTACTAGTACTAGTGTTACTTATTAATTCTAAATCTGTTAGTTATTAGATATTATCATTAATTCAGTATAATTCATCTGTATTAGTGTTATGTACTATTTGTACGTACTAGTATTATGTAGTACATTAATACTAATACTCATTATACATTAGTGGTATTACTATTATTTATTATTATTAAATCTGTTAGTTATTAAATATTATCATTAATTCAGTATAATCTATCTGTACTACTGTTATATACCTTTTAAGCAAATAATCGCATTTTCAGAATCTGAGTCAAGCAAAAAATTAGATTTTCAAAATAAGGCCACAGGGTTTAGGGTTTAGAGTTTAACTTCGGATTTCTCAAATCGGAGTGTTACTTATGCTCGGATTACCAAACTCCGAGTGTAACCTATATACAAATTACCAAAATCCGAGTGTAACATATACTCGGATTACCAAAATTCGAGTGTAACATATACTCGGATTTTGGGTTTAGGGTTTAGGTTCAGATTTCTAGAATCTGAGTTTATCAGGGAAACATGGAAGATTCGGATTTCGAAAATCCGATTCGTGTCCAAAAAATTACCAACACTTGTACAAAAAATTTTTTCCCAAAAATTAATATTTTAATCATAAAGTCAGATTTCAGAAATCCGAATTCTGATTAATTATGCCAAATTAAAAATTTACTTAGTTTTAGTTTTAATTAAAATGAATTCAGATTTTCAAAATCCGTTTTCTATTGAATTTGGATTACCGAAATCCGAATTTACCCCTGATTCGGATTTTAGAAATCCGGAGAATATAGGTTTGTCCATACAAATTTCAAAAAAATTAATTTGGTCTATCTTTTTTTTCAGAAAATTTTTTAGGTCAAAAACTCAACTACATTTTACCCCTCAGTTTTTGCCCTTTAACAAAATCCCCCTCAAATTTTTATCATATTATAAATATTCTCCTGAGCTTTGATTTTTCTAACCGTTTGAACACTTTCTCACCGGAGAATGATGTCAGCAGCTGACATCATCCAACTTTTAGCATGAACTGACAAAAACACCTAGCTATAAGCTCTTTTTTTAAAAAATAAAAAATAAAAAAATAAGCCTCATATTTTTAAAAGCCAAAAAAAAAAAAATAAAAAATAAAATCCAAAGGCCAAATGTAGTTCCCATCCTCATGGGATTCTTCATCACCATCCAAATAATATGCCCCCTTTCATCCTCCCCTCCCCCACCACATGCGCCACCTACAAATCCACATCCCTCTCTCCACCATCCAACCATAATCTCATCCGCACATGAAATATATTCATAACCACCACTTCCAAACTTGCTCGTTATATCCGTCAGTCGCCGCTTTACAAATTTGGATTGAAAAATAAAACACCAGCATATTTTGCCAAAACGAAAATCACTAGTTGAGTTTCAATTATATTCGAATGATCGAATCCATTCTGGCCAATTCTTCTCATCTCTTTTAACAATTAATCAAAGAAAGACATCACAGCTAGCTAAAACATTAGTAAGAGTGGTAGATTGACATGGGTCTTCCGGCTGAGAGGGGCCGACTTTAAATTTCCTTTACTTTATGAAGTTGTATAATTTCTTTGATTTTTTGACTCAATTTTGATGTATTGCGGTTAAAAATTAGTTTAGATGATGGTGGAATTAGGTTTTCTTATCTCAATAGAGAAATAATGAAGAGAACAATGAAGACCAACATGGTATTAAAAAGGAGAAAGCAGGATAGTTTTTGTCGGTAAAAACTAGTGGCCGGAAAAAAAAACAGTAGTTTCGTTAGGTGGAAGATAGGGGTAGTATAGTCTTTTTATATTATCTTTTTTTTAAAAAAATATTTTCAGTTAATTGGTTGGTCTAACCGGAGGCTTTTTTGTCATTCACAATTTTTCGACGTTGACTTAACGTTTCACCTAGTCAAAGGGGAAAATGTAGTAACACCAAAACTCAAGGGGTATTTGGTTAAAGAGCCAAACTCAGGGGGTAAAATGTAGTTTGCCCTTTTTATTAATAACAAAAATAAATACATTACGATAAACGTCGTCGTATGAACTACAGAGCGAACGACTAAATAATACATTACCCCCGCCCTTGATCCAAAATTACGCAGATTAGACAAAAAGTTTGTAAATTCAAAAATTTCTCTCTCTACTCCAACCCCCAAAAATTGAAATCCCGCGCCACCGTTTTCCCCCACCGGGAAATGGCCCTTTCCGCCCCTCCTCCGCCACCCGATGCGTCTCCTCCACCCACCACCGCCGCCACGGCGACGACGGCGTCCACCTCTACTCCTGCTACTACTACTACAACTACTACTCACGCAGCAAGACCACCGTTCCCTCCGAACCCGAGACTCCCTCCGCCTACCCAATCCCACGCGATTTATCCCGCCCCCTTTTACCCTCCCCAGGTGATTCATCCACCACATCTCGCCAATCCGAGACTCCCTTCTAGTCCCAGCTTTCCTCAACCGCTGCCGCACGACGTTAGCACCGCCGCCGCCTCGCCAGCAACTACCAATTCCGGTATACTTTATCCCGTAGCATCGTCCGGCCGGGGATTCATCCAGAAGCAGCAGCCTTCTACTGTTACTGTATCTAACTCTAACCCTAATTCTCATCCATTTAACAATCGCTCCGGGGTGATTTCATATTCCAGGCCACTGTTTGGGTACCCTCATCCGGATCCGGGTCAAAGTCCTGGAATGGCGATGGGTATGGGGTATGTCAGTGGTCGACCCGCTCAGTTCCAGCAGCAAGGTGGTGTTAGTGGTACCATGGTCTTCCCGGGTGTGATTAATAGTGTCCCCGTTGCTTCTTCCCAGGGCCAACGCAAGGTCTGTGTTTTCTTTTTATTTTTAAACGTCTAACTGTTACTTGTTATTGTATTTGTCCTGTTATGTACATTGGTTCTGTATTTTCGATTTGTTAAATGCAGTTTTTCTGTATTTTAGTTGAAGGAAAATGGTTGTGCTGTTTAAAAGCATTTGTTTGTAATTGCACACTTACTTACCTATGTTATTTGTTGCTAGTATCTTTCTTTTTGGGTGGGTTGTTGGGGAGGGGGAATTGATTTTGTTTTGTCCACATTCTTTGAATGTAGCACAACTGAAGTCTATAAATCTTGTCTATTACTATATTGCTGGTTGAGCGTGTTGGATCCTGCAGCTGTTGGTAGGATTTGTTAATGTATTAGTTCTAGGTTCCTCAAGAGTACGTATCAGAAAGCTTAGTCTTAAAAATCACTCTAGCCTCGTATCCCTAATTCCTAAAGAAAAGTCCTCTTGTGATTTTTCTGTTTTACTACTACTGATTACTTCAGTGTTCTTGTATGTTTTTTTTTTTTGAGTTAGATGCGTTTATCCTTCTTTCTTTCTTTTTTCTTTTTTTTTTTTCTTTTTTACTTTGAAAGGTTATTCAGATGTTGCGCTGTTGCTTTTTATGCAAACTGAAACCTTGCCATGGCTAGTCGCTAGAACATTCTAGTTCACTCTTTTCTCTTGTTTCTCCATTCTAGTTTCAGCCTAGTTGTTAGGGAGCTTGATTTTTCTTATGATGTAGCTGGATTCATCATTTTGACTTTGTGTGAGATGCTGATGTAAGTGCTTATCAATCTTTTCTCTATGTTAGTCACTTACCTTTTGCATTTTTTGTTCTGGCAGATTAGTTTTTCATCAGCTCCAAATGCTGATAGTAATGGCCACAAAGATTCCAGGTAAAACATCAATTGGTTTTGTTTTTCTATGCATATATGTGTGGGATTTGCTTTCTAGTTTGCACTTTTTCTCAAGTTTCTAGTGTTGATTCTTTCTTGTTATCAGGGGAAAAAGCAGGGACGAGTCTCTTTTAACTGTCAGAGATAGAAAGGTTAGGTTTTTCATTCTTTTGGTGCCTTATAATAACAGAATGAGATTTTTTTCTTCCAAAAAAATGTTTAATTTGTGAAGTGATGTAATCATCTATGCATGTTTTTGCTTTTAGAAGATTTTTGTATATATCTGTTTCATGCAGAACTTATTAATGGAATCTGTCTTGCATCAAACTGTTTTTAATGCTAGATGAAATAGGTTTAGAGAGGGCTATCTTTCACCAGTGGTTATGTGAAGTAACATATCCATTTGTACTTTCAATATTATGAAAGATCTGTAAATCACCTCTTAGTCCCTCCTGCGTTTTTTTTCTTGCCCGCAATTAAATAACAATGTCAACGGTTGCTTGTTATTGTCCATTTCTAGTGGTTTAATACCAGATTTCAGCCTTACTATTTGCCTTAAATAACTAAAGAAGGCAGAGGACCATCACACAGCTCTATAAAATGGACTATCTAACATAATGAAACAGGAATCCTCCGAAGCATGCAAGTTTCATTAACTTCTCTTCGTCTGATCATTGCTAGTGTTCTAATTGACCTCATTTCCATGGTTCAACATTGCAAATGGACATGTCTCTACCCTCTGTGGTCTCTCTCTCTCTCTCTCTCTCTCTCCCCCTCTCTCTCTCTCTCTCTTCTTTTCTTTTTTTTTTTTGGTTTTATTTTCTTGTTTTGCATGTCAGTAGTGTTTGCTTCTAAATGGTGGAATCTTGAGCTTGTCTTGTAAGTTGATGTCCTAAACTTTTGGAAAACAGTGTGTCATCATAAACTATTACTGATCTTTAATAGCCTGTCATCATCAAGTACTTCAATTGCTTCTTCAGCTCCTGGATTGTTTTTCCCATGCATTCTTTCGCACTCATCACCACCACCACCATTGGCATAAAAAACTTATAAGCTTTTGCCATTCTATGGGGATTTATTTTATGGATTTAATGTCACCTCTGCTCTGTTAATTTGCATATGTTATGATATGTTCAGCAAATATATCACAGATAAGTACTTGACAAAGAACTAAAGTTTCTGGAAAAGTTATTGATAGCATCCCTAGTATACTTAATTTACTGAACTGCAATTTGAAGGAAAAGTGGATTAATGTGCTATGGACAGTTTGTGGAGACTTATTATGAGTTCTTAACTTTTTTTCTTTCCCTGGGCTTAACAGTTACTAAATATCATTTTCTTTGCCATCTCAATTAAGCTGTCAGTTTCATTACTATCCATATAACAGGTCAAAATGTCTGAGAGCGCTTCTATTTATGCTCTCTGCCGATCATGGTTGAAGAACGGTGCACTTGAAGGAAATCAGGTTTGCAAATCTGGACCCTTGATTGAATATTATGTGTGCACTTCATTTTTATATCAAGACATATTAAGTTTATTGCCTGGGCACTTATTGTTCTTCTGAGAGGTATCCAAGGATAACCAATTTTCCCTGCATTTCTATTTGATCTGTTGATCAAAATTGATACTGGTTTCTTCTTTTGAAACATAAGTGTGCTTCTCCAGAATTCCAGAAGAAATCGTTTTACCTGTTTTGAATTCCAGAAGAAATCGTTTTCACTTCCAATGTTTTGAGAATTTATGATCTTGTGTTTGAGAATATCTGTTCTTGGTACTGTTTAGTAGCTCCTGACGTCACCTTACAATTTGATTCTTTTTTAGTTGTATTGTTTGGTAATTCTAGTTTCCTGCTATAAAGGTTTTAGCTAGTGGTTACTGTATACAAGTTTTAATCAGGCCTGGTTGATTCTGCATTTGTTCTGTACATTTTATATAGTTGACATTGATCTCATATGAAATAATGTATGATTTTGATTCTACCATTGCAAGTTTTGTGTTTTGATTGGTCAAATTGCAAACTTCCGTAGTGTATGGTGGAAGTATTCTGTAATGTTGTTATGGGTGATTCTTTTTTGCTTCTTTTTCTTTTCTTTTACTTTTTAAATGTCATTGTGAGGTATATTGCACCCTAATTGTACTCTTTTTTGCCAGCCGGTATACCAGGATGGAGCTAGACTTCCAAGACCTTTGCCCTTATCAGTAGAAAAGGTGGTTTCACCAGCAGAGAAGGATGATGCTAAGGAAGAAACGGAGGTTAGTGACTGAAATAATTTATACTGGGGAAAAAGGGGTAACTTTTCCATGCGAATTGAACTTAGCCCGAGCCTGGAAGGTCAAAACATTGAAGTCCCTGATTGTTCGCATGTGAAATAATGAAATTCTTAGGGAGTTGTTTTCTTTAGTGTCAACTGTATCAGAGGAGAAGCAACTGTCTATTTCATGAAACTGAACATGTGTAGTTACTCGAATGGCTGAACTGACATTTCTTCGGACATAATGCTTTAGTAGGAAATGTCAACATTTGTTTTTGAAATTAATGTCACTTTCAACTCCTGCTTCCTTATCCGTATAAGCTTCTTGCTGCCTACTTTACAGAAAATTTAGTTGGTAAGCTTCTTGAGTTAGCTACGATGTGTTCATGGCCAAATATTTTATTGGTGCCAAATGAAGTTAAAAGTTTTTTTCTTTTGAACCTGTGGTTTGCCTCGAACTTTTGGAATTTTCGTTATGTTGGTTTATCTTTGTTGCAGTCGGCCAAATTAAGCTATCGTTAAAACTTGTCATCTTTTAAGAAAGTGATCCCATTCCTTTCCGCACCTCGCAGGAAGAAGGATCTGTGGAGAATTTAACCCCAGAGGAGTTGTTGCAAGGCCATATCAAGCGTGCTAAGAAAGTACGATCATGGTAAGTTTAACTTTATACTCCATGCTTTTTCATAATTGAAAATGCCATCAAAGGAAGTTTGATCCGTGAATAAGATTAATGAATGCCTTAAAGTGTGGTTTTGTGGCTTAACAATTTAGTCTTGCCTTCTAAGTTTCTGCTCTATAGCTTCTTGAATTTAGACTATTTAGTAATATATAGGCTGATAAGTTGTAGTGTGTAGTTACTATTTGAGGTTTAGTTCATCTTCTGATGGTTTTTAGTCTTTATGAGAACCTTTAGATTGTTTCCTGATTCTTGTTCTTAATGAATCTTCCCAGAGGCAAAGTTTTCTATTGAGGGAGTCTTCTGGAAGCATGTTCTTGTTGCGTTCTTGAAAATGTTTCCTTTCTTGAGGGATGAAGGATCATAATTATTTTTCGACTGAAAAATTAATACCATTCACAAGTTGAAAATATTCTGCAAAGTGTTTTCCAAAATTTATTCACACGTAGAAAAGGAAAGTTGTTCGTCGAAAAAGCCAAGGCCACATCATGTTCAGCAGCTACAGTAAATTGACCAGAATTTGACTGTATTCTGAACTATTATTATTATAATTTTTTTTTTTTGGGGGGGGGTGGGGCAGTTGTTGAAGAAACAGGGTTTGTCCTTTATGGTAAGGAAGTAAAAGAAAAATCTCGGTTGATGGAAGGAGTTAATGGAAACAGTGTAGGTTTGCGATTCCAAATGAAGAAGATAGAAAGTACATCTAGGATAACTGGGGTGGCTATATGGATAATATCTTGCCATTATATTGAGTTAAATTCTGTGTTCTCTGTTATGTTAGTTTAAATTAATGCTGCATTTTGTAAGTTTTTCTCTAATCCTTTTTAAAGTTTTGTCCTGATTGAAAAATTAATACTTCTCTGTGTATAACTTATTGGGGCATCTAAAGTTTCCTGCACATATGTCCTAGCTCTTTAGGATGTGTTTTTCACATCTAATATAATGGGAAAACCACTATTTTATTTCAAGGATACTCATTTGTATCACCATTCTCAGCTGTAATTTTCATTTTTTGCTCATTTTTGTCTTTTGTCACTTGGCGCTTTGATCTATATATAGTATTGTCATGCTCGTCAAATTCACAAATATATTGCTTTTATGGAACTTCTGCGTCGAATAATTTCTCATTTTCACTTAGTGGAAGTCAGAAGACATGCAGATAGGATAACAATCTTCTGTATCAGTTATCGTCTGACTCTTTTGTGCTGCAGAAATACTGCTTTTTGCAGCTCAAATACTGTGACAATTTATTCACAAACTGGCCCTCTTGCATGAGTTATAAACCATGAGTAATGTTCTTTGTGTTGTGTAGTTTGCGAGAAGAAAGACTTCGACGGATTGCAAGATACAAAACCAGATTAGCCCTTCTCCTGCCGCCGATGGTAGAGCAACAACTTAGAAATGATTCAGCCCCTGGAAACTGATGTGTTATGTTGTGACATTGAGCTAGTCAGTCTGAAGTTTTGGGTAGGTTGATGATGCCGAAGTGAATCCTCATCGTAAAGGGACTCCGAGTAGCTAAGGCCTGTTGACATGATGTTGTTTTTTTTTTTTTTTTTGGCCATATTTGCAGGCCTGTTGACATGATGTTGTTAGTATTGGTTGGCAGAGTTCTAGTTAGGGAAAGCCTGCTTTATCCATCGCGGTGACTGCCCACTGTAGTTATAGCAACGTATGTATGTTTAGTGATTTTTTTCCAGGAATTGATTCCATAATGCAAAACTTCTGGACTTAAATAGCACGATTCTTTTCTGCCGCCAGATGCAATTACCTGGTTGAGTCGTGATTTTTGAGCATCTCCTAAACGTCTATACAATAGTGGGTACTAAAGAAAATCACTACTTTGGTTCATCTTGCTGATTAGGTAGACTCATATTAATACCTAATAGATTAGTTGAAAAAGCAGAAGAATCCTTCAGGGTATGATGATGACAGAGTGTAATAAGTCAAGTCTTTCCTTATAAACTGGTCTAGTTTTTGGAGTTGTCTTAGGTCATGGAAGATGGGTGTACTAAAACTGACAGCCAAAAAGAAGTTTGGTGAAAGTAAAACTAATAATGATGCTAATCATCATCATTTAGTCTCTCCTAAAATATATATATATATATATATATATATATATATATATGTGTGTGTGTGTGTGTGTGTGTGTGTGTGTCCAGAGATCTCAAACACGCGTAAACTCCTTAGCCTTGAGTCAAAAACAATCGTTTTGTCAAACTGGAAAATCGCACTTTGGGTATCTGATCTCTCTTCTTCCTTTTCATATTACGTCGGAGATTTCGTCTTTATTATGGCTTCAACTAATGTTCAAAAGTTTGTCAATTGGGTGGAAGTGCGCTTAGCCCCTCATCAAGAAACCCCCCAAAATCATTTCTGCTGTTTATGTGCCTTTAGTTAGTTGTTTTATTTAAATTTTGACTATATTTTACAGTATTTGATCATGCTAAAAAGATTACCAAAACTGACTAATAATAAATTAATTTTAATGTTGTTTTTTTTTTCTTTTACAGGCACCGATGTCACGTTAAGAACAAATAAATGAATATCACTTCAAAATAATTTTTGAAAGACTATCTCTCAATTTCTCACACCATTTCACTGGTTACAGAAAGTCCATCACTTTATATATATTGTAATTGCGGGTATTGCTACATGCTATTAAACAAAAAAATATATAATCATTCGAAGATATTCAAATATATATTTTAAATAATCCTAGTCAAACTCAATATCTTGCATGATTGATTTGAGGGCATTTAGTTGTTTATCTGATGATTGTATTTCACCCTACTTTACTGCTTAATCAAAACCTTTTTAAAGTTTGGACATTACTAGATATCTCAGCCACCAAATCAAGTTTTACCTTTCACAAATCACATTTCTACAAAGAAATTCAATGGATATGAATGACGATCGTCACCATATAATATCGACGTGCTTCCCACGTCCAAACGAGCAAACTCTCCCTTTCTTCTCCTCTTACCATAACTTTCAACTCTTTCAAGGTCGTCATCTCCCTTTCTTCTCCTCTTACCATAACTTTCAACTCTTTCAAGGTCGTCATTGATGGTCCAAATCATTCTACGTATTTGCGTGTGGAAAATGCAACCTTAAAATCGTCAAAGCCCAATTAAGGAAGATGCTTGAAAGTTTCCATGTGTTCTAGGTCATGAACCTTTTCCCTGATTAAGTTTATCAAATAGAAACTACTCATTCATAATAATAGTAATAGTATAATTATTGAAAATAGTTTAATACAAAACTCAAAATACAATGTGAACTATTTTTTTAAAACAGTGACAGGAGTAAAAGCTACTGAATTTTTCTGGTTCGTCCAGCTTGCAGGAGTGACTTGAAAGTCGCCTAATTGGTCAAATAAGTGAAGGTTGCAAATAGGGTGTTTTTCGGCTCTATTTTTCTTTTTCTAATTTTTAAAACGACATTTTACATTTCCAATCCTCGCTCTTTTTAATACAGAAAATGCACATCGAAATTTTTTTTTTTAAAAAAAATTTAAGACTAGGCCTGAAGTTTATATTTGTATTAAGTAATTCATTTGCTATCTATAATAAACTTTGTAACGTCTCTTGCAATCAATCATATCCTTTTCACAAATCATATCAAGTAGTATTTTCAAAGATAGTATATAGTAATTGGTTGAATTGAACCTGTAAAAGAGAGTCAAACATGGTCAACTAACTAAAATAAACCCAATCCTGGCCGTGTCCGTGTACTAATTTTTTTTGCCTTGTAGCTACTAATCAATCTTTCTTTTTTCTTAATTAAAGAAGTGAAAGGGCAAATCAAACAGATGCTACAAATTAAAGAGATGGTCAATATTCATAGAGATCTCTATCCATTGCACCTTAATTAAAAATTCAACTGTTGGCGTGACCTTGAACTTAGCATGTCAATTTACTTGATTTGGTAGAACACTAGAAACTTTTATTTTAAAAAAATAAAATAAAGATATTACGTATATGGTGATACTCTTCCCCGTGGTAAAATTTTAAAGTCAACCAATATTCATCATTATAGAGTTGAGATTTTTAGTCACCAAGAAACATGTGAAGTAAGATCATAAAAATGTCGAACACTGACCAAGGCTAGAAGTCTCATGCAAGCACAGCGACGGAGTAAGAATTCTTTAAATTGTATGGCTAAAAATAAAAAACAATAATTCTACTAATAATCTTTTCTTGTTAGCAAATTTTGGAAACTAATTAGGCTACTTGTAAGTACTTGTTCCCTAACTCTGTCACTGTTCATGCTATATAAAAAGAATTTTGAAGGTCACAAAGATTTTCTTATCAAAGCAAAATAATAATAATAATAATAATAATATAATAATAATAATTATGTTAATTAAGTCGTGAAGCTATTCCTCTTCGGGGGGAAAAAAAAAATAAACAAAGACCATTAAATCATGAGAGCTGGAAAGCAGGAAACAAACGACTTGAGGACCTTCGGTTGAGGTGATCATCAGTTTTTTACGACGTTGAAATATGAAACCGTATGAGGGAGTAAATTAGTCAAATTAGACCAAATGTTGCAAATTCTACTACTATCCACGCCCTTTTTAAAATTATTATTATTCTATATTATTATTGTTATCCTTTCTTTATAATTATTGTTACTTATTTGGGCGAGCGATAGCAAAATATAGGTTCGATTTGACTTGTTCATGTGGACAGTTCTGATTTTTCCTTTATAAATGTTAATGAATAATGAGGTAAAACAATTATTAGTATTACTTTGGACAAAAGTTAGTTCAGCTTAAATTTTAGTAAAAGGGCTCGTCAAATTGCTTCGCCTAAAAGTGTTTACTTTGACTGTTTGACAATATAGAGTTTGATGAATCAAGTTTCGTAGTAATTGCTAAGAACACCCTATTACCATTGATATACATCACACTGGCCCTGTACTTTTTCCATTTCTACAATCAATTCAATACAAAAGTACACCGATACGGATAATTTATTTTGAAGTATAGAAAGAGTGTTTTAATAGGTGAGAAATTAATAGTTAAATTGACACACCTATTTCGAACTAATATTTTTCCCACAATATACCTTTAGTTTATCAAACTAACATAAATATAAAACTCAAGATACCCTCATCTTCTTTTCTCTTTATGTTTATGATCTTACATCTTCACCGTGTTCCTTTCTCTTTTTCCTCACTTCAGGAACGTCTAAGGGAAATGGAGCGTTGTACAGAAGATTAGCATGGTCCTTGCTCAAAGATAATACTCCCTCCATTTCAAAATAGATGTCGTTAGAGGAAAACTTATTTTTTTTTCAGATTACATGTTATTTTCGTATTTCGAGACATATTTTGTCAATTTCTTTCAACATTGCCCTTATATGGAAAATTGTAATTGTGTTTAAATTAGAAGTGTATTAGAACTAAATAATATTGAAAATAATATTAGAAGATAAATGAGGGTAAATTAATATTTTAACCAAGTACTAATTTGTTTTCTTAAATTTTGTGCAATTCCTTCAATGACATCTATTTTACTAGAATGGAAGGAGTATACACACATTGAGAAATGGACTTTTGTCTTTGACCATTTATATGTATAAATGCAAAACTCTTTGGAGGGATTATTTGCAATTATTGTTCACCAAGAAAGTTAAAGAATAATTAACGAATACCAACAAATTCTGGATTCTAGATATATAAATATATAACCGAGATTGAAAATCTCAATATTTGGAAGTTGGAACGTTCTAACTCGAGTCTTTATACCTCTCCAAACAAATCTACTCAATACAACTATAGATAAATCAAGTTTGTAACAATAAAAGCAATAATTCGAGACACCATGTAATTTGTATAAAGACATGAAAACCCAAATCCAGTAAAAGGGGGGGAAAAAAAAAGGGGGGTTGGGGTTAAAAAGGTGAATGAGAGTCTCGTGCTCAGTCTCGTGCCAAAGGGACGTTAAGAAATTCAATAATGAGAAATGTACTTGGCTCGTGTGCACTCATAATTGGTAGTCATAAAAGCGTACCTCACTTTTCCAGACAACATTCATCAATTATGCTGCCATGCCCAGCCAGCAGCCCAGCCTTCCTCCATCCATCCATTCCAATCCTACTCAATACATTTCCACCTATTATACTAATTAGACTAGTTTCTTCCCCAAGAGTAAAAGCTAGTAGTAGTATATATGATAGGCTATTTTAGCCCAAAGAGCTTATAAAAAGTGAGTCAGAATTTCTGAGGGTCAATTGTCCACCCCGCCCGGCAGCCCCCAATCAGTCCAACTTCTCCCCACGCCTTCTCTCAATCTCATCATCATCAATTCATCATCATCATCAATGAGGTTTGAATGAATCAAAATCATTGAAGAAGAAAAAAAAGGCCACCAAAAACGAGACAACCTTTCTTAAAGCATGCCTTGAACCACGGGACAAACCAACATTACATGATACTACTACTTCACTAGTCCCATTCATTCATCCATCCATCCATCATTCCCTTGTCATCATCATCATTTTATCAAAAATAAAAACAATCAATCAATCCCCAACCAAAATAATAATTAAAAAATAAAAACCCTCCTCCAAAATTACACAAATAAAGAAAGGAATTCCATTTCACAAATCCAAGCAGAGAGTACTAAAATTTTACTTCCTAATAATAAAGAAAATCCTCTACTCCTTTTTTCTTTTTCTTTTTTTTTAATGACTTCCTAGTTCTTCTTCTAGAGCTACAATTCATTCCATACATCACTGAGCCAAAAAAATTGCTCCAAGATGATGAACACCCATCATCGAAAAAAAAAAAAAATCAAGCCCACCATCAATCAACCAACCAAAGATTTCCATTTGCTATATGTACACATGGCCATGCCACTATTTTAGTAAAATGTCAACACGGGAAGTCATAAAAGGTATTGGGTATTTTAATTGACTTGGGGGAAGATCAGAATGGACCGTTGTTTTGTTTGTTTGGTATTGGCATAATTATGAGGCAGCTGACTGGTGGGGATGTTGGTTGGTGGTTGTGTGAGCCAAAGGAAAGAACTTTGGTCGAGCAACACCAAATGGGATTGCTTTTGCAGTTGACTCCGGGCTAGATGATGCTGGCGGAGAAACTACGGCAGTTGTGGGAGGAGAAGTAGCGGGGTTTGCGGAGGTTGTGGTGGTGGCGGCGGTGGTTGACGGCGGCGGCGGTGCTCCGCCGGTGTTAGTTGTTGCCACACGCTCACAAGAGGGACACATGGTGAGAGTGGTGGCCGGAAGTTGCATGTAGAATGGGTTAGAAGACTTCAAAGCTCTTAATTCAGCCAACTCTTTATGCAGCCTTCGGTTCTCTTCAGTCAATGTCTCGCAACACCTTTTCAAATACTCACAATCCACTTCCGTTTGCTTCAATTTCGTTCTGCAAATTCCCCCAAAACCAAGAACACATATTGAGACCCGAAAAGCATATAGTAATTTCAATCTAATTCCAATTATCAAATGATCAAACCAACAACCCCATAAAAGTATGACACAATTTAGCAACACACACCTGGCTCTTCTATTTTGAAACCATACTTCAACTTGGCGGGGTCTAAGATTAAGCTGCTTGGCAAGTGCAAGTTTTTGCTTCTATACTCCGGCCAAAACAAATTCCAAAAGGCATAACATTAAAAAAGAGATCAAAATTTGACATGGGATTTAATCATTTTTTTCGATTACTTAACGAATACTACAATGTAATCTGTTTGAAATTGAGAAAAGAAAAAAGGTTGGTTTTTTTTGACTCACAGGATTGAGAGTGTTGTGTTCTTTGAAACTTTCTTCAAGATAAGCAGACTGTTCTTTAGAGAGCCGGAGTTTCTTCCGGCCATTGGGGCCATTTTCGTCTTCATCACTGGCTCTGGATGAACCTCTTTCACCCTCAACGACGTCGTTGGCACCCGCTCCGAAATCCCTTTTATGATTACTGACAAGATTCCCATTGCCTCTGAAAAGGCTAAAATCCATCTGAAATGACGACGCCACACTATTAGGAGACGTCACTTCATCCGCCGCCGCCCCTAAACTACCGCCACCGGCAAACCGGTTCACATCAAATCCCCTAACCGGCGCAGCCGGATGCATACCCAAGTTCCCTGATGAACCCGAACTCCCTATATATAAATCCGTAATAATAATGAATAACACAAACTAAATTCAATGAAAATAAACCGAAAAAAAAAATCACGGGCCGGAATGGGTTATTACCGTTCTCGGAAGACCAACGGCGAGGGACCGGAGCCCGAGGGAGAAGATCAAGCTGAAGAGGATCATCTCTGGTATGCTCCGACGACGTCCGATCGTCGTCTTCCTCCTCCTCTTCCTCTCCACCTTCATCGTCATGACGACCATTTACCAAATCCGTACCATTTGAGCTTGAACCCAAAGCCATGCAGAAACCCAACCCGAGCTCGGAATTCCCAACGTCCCCATCTTTGTTGTTCTTGTGGCTAAACGGGTCGGGTCCGTCAGTAACACTCCCGTTCTTCGATAAACCGAACGGTTTGGATGCAGAATTAGTATTACTGTTATTACTATTGATATTATTACTGCAATCTCCGCCTAAACTTAAACCAAGCTCCATGGATTCATTCATTCATATACACTCTTAAACCATGAGAGCCTCCAAGAGAGAGAAAAAAGGGGCAGAAATTTGTAGTGGAAGGAAGAAGAGAGAGAAATGAAGGGTAGGAGAGAGGAGAGTCTTTATAGAGATTCTATCCAATCTGGGAATTCTTATTAATAATGGTGGGGGTAGGCTTTTGCTGCTCCTGCTTCTTCTGTTTACTGTGTGTGTGTGTGAGAGAGAAAAAGAAAATGAGTGAGGGGAAGGAGAAAGAGCGGTGTGCTGCTGTGGCCTCCTCCTCTGTCTCTGTGCGGTAGGCGTAGACCAAATAGTCCTCCTTTTAGACCTTTGTTCCAAAATAAACTAACTACTAATAAATAAACTTATTATTACACTAGTGAATAATAATACATGTTACACCACCTGTCACAAAAATAATTTATATTGTGAATAATATTATATATATTACGCCATCTTTCACAAAAATAATTTTATATTATAATAAGTTTTAAGAATTATCATATAGACATTTGGAGGGAGGGAATATAAATTTTCATTAACCCATTTATTTCATTTTTATTCTTGTTTCTTCAATTTTATATACACAAAGATTTGATGAGTATTTATTAATGATTTCAGGAAAAAAAAATTACTGTTTTTTACTGTCCCTATAAAACTTTTCAACTTTTGCAATTCTTATTTGGTATGCTCAAACCGAACTCGAATAAGGTAAGTCTTTTTCTAGAGTCTAAACTTTTTTCTTTCTAATAAGTTATGTCACACCTCATTTTCAACAGTCCTTAAAGGAAGGATACATATACATATTAACTATAGTTAATAAAGAAGGGATCTGCCATATCAGTTATGGGATTTGAAACACTTATGTCCTATCCCAAGAATTAACCCAAGTCCACATTTTATTTTATTTTTTCAAATATAATTAATCATGTGAAAGGATAAGTAACGCACAACATTTTTTTAAATTTTTTTTTTATTTTTACCTGTATATATAGATCCGACTAATATGTTTATATTTGTATGTAAATCATTCATCAATTACACGTTCTCAAATTTTCTACATTCACGAAATTAACATTTTCTTTCAATCTCAAATATTTTTTTTCCTTCGTTTCTTTTGCAATAAAAACCAAATTTCATTCAGTTCACTGAAAATAAATCGTTCAGCAAAACTAGATGATCGCGGAAAAATAATTTCTAAAATTTAGTGGCGATGATCTTATTTTTGTTTCAATCAATCATAGGAACAAAATCAAAAGAATATTGGATCCTTCGTTAATTTAAGAACCAGATGGTGATTTAGCACGTTTTATTATGTTGATGATGATGATGATGATGAAAATTAAATTAATATTTGAAGGTACAAGGTCAGTTTTGTCTTTTCAAATTGCATTTGAGAAAAGTGTTTTTATCTTACATGATGATTTGTGGAATTTCCCAAGTGTTTGACCGACAAAAACAAAGGTTGACAAATACGTCAAAGCTAATCTTAACAATTTTTCTTTCTTTTCTTTTAAGGAATTTATATTAGTGGCGGAGGGAAGAACTTTCTTTCATCAAAGATCTTGCGGGTCCCGGTTGGACTTTGGTCCATACTTTTTTTTTTTTTAATAATATATAAATTACATTTCTTGTCTTTGGAATGTTTATTTTTCCTTTTTTTTTTTTTTGGAATATATATCTTAGGATGTAGGCTTGGCTTCTGTTTAATTAGGAATTTTTGGGGGCAAAATAAAGAAAAGGAGATTGAAACTTATTTCAGGCTCGAAATAATTTCTGAAATTAGTCCTGTAATTGAAAGTGCTTCTAAAGGTTTGATTGAATACGAAAATAAATAACAAAATTAGTGAAAATGACTAAATAAAAATAAAGTAGTAACATTTAACGGATTCGTAGTTTTTTTTTTGGCTATAATCTTTTCTTCTCGAATTGTCATGGCTCTTTTCCGGGTTCTCGTTGGCTGGTACTTAATTTTTGCGATTTATTTATCGTATACTAGAATATGTAAAAAACGTAAAAGAATCCTCTTAAAAAGGATTTCAATCAATCTTCACTCAAAAAGAGACATAATAACTCGTGAGAACCTTTTTTGGGGGATAACTCATGAGAATAAATGAATAATCTACATTGAGATATCATTAAGTTCAAGCGTAGTATTCTCTATATATTTTGTCTCATAATGATTGCTTTTTTTGTTATTTAATCCATTCTAAAATAATTGTTCAGTTTTAATTTTTACTTTTATTATAAATGTCACGAGCTCGTCCAGCAGCTCCTGCAGCCGCCCGTGCGGCATCCCTAGAATCTCCCAGTTTCCCTTGTAGGATCAGTCTACACTCACGTAGCCTACTGGTTTCGCCCTGTCTTGGGCTTATTGGAGGAGCGGCATTAGCCCCCCGACCAGTTGTGTGCTTATTCGCGCGTTAGTCCCGCATGACCATCCTGCGAGGTGCTACAGATTCCTCGGGTCCTCTCGCAGGGACTAGTTGCTAAGCCGACAACCTTTCCTTAATGCTAATCCATCCCCCTGCCCTATCAGGCAACAAACTCAGTAGGTACGCAATCGGTTCCCGGGTATCTTAATTACTCTGGTAACAGACTTATCTTAAAAAAATATATAAATTATTAAAAAATTATTATGGGATGAAAGGAATGGAATGTATTATAATAAATAGATCAATTATACTGCGAAGATTCGATTAAAACCTTTAAAGCCGAAAATGATTGTTGTGGGTAGACTTGTTCACACTCCTAATAGTAAGTTTCCACTATGTATTTCATCTTTTTTTTTATTATATAATTTTTTTCTTTAAATCTTTTTCTTAATTAAATTATTTGTAACCTAAACACACTGAAATTAAAATACATACAACTACTTGCTATCATAAGTACTTTTCTATTTTGCAGATAGCTTCAGGAAATTCTAACGAAATTCGCATTAAAAAAAATAGAGGAAAAAAACTTAATAAAAAAATTAATTTATTTCAACAACACTTATTGGCGGGGTGGCAGTAGCTAATAGCAACCACAACTATTACGATAGAGTATTTATGTATTAAGAATAATAAATGACCTCCAAAAATAAAGTGGATAAAGAAAAATTTAAGAATGAGAAAGAAAAAAGAAAAAGAATTAGAGACGTTGGATGGAAAAAAAGGGGCAAACTTTCATTCCAGATAACATACCAATTCAAACTAACCCACAACCGACATCATTAAGCAAAGGCATCTTGACACTTGTCGAGATGGGGTTGGAATTCAAGCATAAATTAGACGTGGGAATTTGAGGTTTGAGACCTTAACTGCCCCTTGGAAAATTAAGGTTGTAGCGCTACTGTGACTGAATGATGAAGAGATAAGCACGAGGGTTTCATTTGACCCATAAATAAATAAAAGTACTTGCTGTTTTAGATTAGTTTGTTGGCCTTAGGAACAAGTCAAATTGCATCAAATTTTTCATTTTCAACTCCTCCTCTAATCGCCTTTTTGATTAGTTCAAGAAAAGAAAACAACATTACCACTACTCATCTAGTCGGATGTTTCGTTAAAAGTTGTGATTTATTTATTTTCTTTTTTGGTCCAATGCAATTCTATTGATGATGTTGTTGCCATTCTATGCCAAGAAAAGTGTCATTGCCTTTTTCCCTCCCCCACGATTTCAGTAATGTATCAACTATGATCCTGAAATTACAAAACTTTTTCTGTCTTAAAGTATGATTTGTTTTTAGAAGGAAAAAGGGTTTTTATAAATGGTTAGCATATTAGTGAGAAATAAGCTTTTTATGTTATTATTCATATCAACTTCTCGATATTAGTCAAAGTTTTCATATTCAATACAGAAAAAAAATTTGTATGACCTTTGATTTCACGGTGGTCATTTCAATTTTCATCATACAATTTCTTCTCTTTGTAGATTTGTAGTTGACAAAATACGGCACTGATCAGTCTTGAATACAATCAGCACTTGATGTAGTCTTCCAATTTTAAGTTTCACGTCGTTAATCTATTATTAGGGCACAGAGAAGTCTCAGGTGAAAAAACTCATTATTAGAACATTTAAATCCATGATTGTAACTGTGCTTTTTCCTTGTAACAAACACATTATGCTAGGAGAGAAAAGGTAATACTCCCTCCGTCCCATAATTATTGTCCACTTTGCCCAAAAAATTTTGTTTCAAAATTATTGTCCAATTTGACTTTTTATGGATTAAGTTATACATTTGTCCTTAGTAAAAAACCTTATCCATAAAATCTTAGTGGTTAAACAAATACTTATGTAGGGGTATATCCGGTTATTTAAGGTAAAATATAAGTTTGACCAAAAATAAAATATTTCATTTTAGTAAAACTCGAAAATAATTATAGGACGGAGGAGTAGTTTATTATATCATATTCATCATTCAGACAAGTGGTAGTGTTCTCATTTCTAGTGTGATTAATTAATAGAATCAGAATTAGAAATCATTTTGTCGTATTGTATTGGTGTTGGACCCGTGCAAAACAACCATCATAATTGGACTTCCATCGTCCCATAATTGTTGTGCAGTTTGGATTTTTATTGTACTAAAAATGAAATTTGAAACTGAATAATAATTTTGGGACAGAGAGAGTATAATACATTAAAACAAACTAGGTCATATACTTATATCAATGAACAATTCTCAAATTGACCTCTGTTTGTTTTCTTTTTTTACTGGTTTTTTTTAGAACAATATAATAATAATTGTTTCATTCCAGCATACTTTTTTACAGTCCCAATACAAAAAACACCTAAAAACACATATTAAAAAAACAAAACAAATATACTTATTTTATCCGACGATATTATGACAAGTGGGGGAAAATGTGGATTATTATCATTTTTTAAAATATTGGAATCACAAAATACTCCTAAGCTCTCAAAAATCACAGTTAGGTTAATTTCCATTCAAAAAAGTAAAAAAACAAAAAAAAAAAAATTCTCCACAAAACAGAGTTTGAACAAACATTTGTTTCTGCAGTTAGAGGCGCTATATGTAAATCAGGTTTCATGCACGCAATAATTGAGAAATAATTGATATAACGAGTAGAGATACGGGGGTTAAGACGAAGTCATGGTCATGTATATGACGTCTGTAAAACTTAAGCTTTGGTTTTTCAGTATTTCTTCCGCAGTTCCGTATTAAAAAAAAATAATAATCCAAATTGATTTTTAAAATTTATATTAGTGCAAATCTTAAAATTCAATGTGAATCATTTTTTTTTTTTTTGGATAAAGGGAGTAATTAAAATAGATACGGGTTGAGAGGGGGAGTTAGTAAAGTTAGACAAGATTGGTATAT